GAGGACAGATGCAGGAACAAGCTACAGCTGTGGGACTTTTGAAGCTGAAAGCCTGAAATGAGCAGGGCTCAGGCTCCCAGATTAGGGTTCTTGGTGCTCAGTTTGCTACTCAGCAAGGTGGGAGGCTTTGGCATCATTTTCTGGCACCTGCTGGCCCTCCTCTGCTGAGATTTCTTACAGAATAACCAGTTCTCATTCCTGAAGAATGTGATTCTCCATTTGAAAAAGAAACAAAGGCAAGATGGCAGCAGTGAAGCAAGTGTTGTGAATCTTTGTGCTGTTTATACTTGAGCAGATGAGTACAGGTTATTTGTTGGTGAAACAACTGGAATCTGTTAAGAACATTAGAGCAACAGCAAAATATCAAAACTTGACTAATTACAGGATGTTGCTACTTATTATAAGTTTTTCACAAGGCAACATTTTCCTCTTTACGTGATCTGTTTTTCTAAATAGCTTCAAACAATGCATGTGTTAATATTATTTTCAGGGGAAGCTGCCAAGAATGCAAAGCATTCAAAGAATTGTTTGCTAGAGAGAGAGAGAGAGAGAATTTGTATTTTGAAAGAGAGAGGGGATTTCTCATCTCTTTAATACATCCTGCACTTGCACAAGCTCTACATGACTAACAATACCATCAGCTCCACAGAGTGATGAGAGCACTCAGCATGTGAAAGGGAACATAACTGAAACAGTGCAAGTAATGTACGAGTTTGGTATCAGAGAAAAAGAGACCTAGTGACTGAACATCTTGTTTCGGGGTACGAGCTTCCTTTTCAGATATAGAATCATAAAATCATCTAAGTTGGAAGGGGCCTTTGAGATCAAGTCCAACCATCAACCTAACACTGACAAAAAACCACCAAAACCATCACTAAGCCATGTTGCTAAGCCCCACCTCTTCCTGTCTTTTAAATACCTCCAGGGATGGCAATTCCACTGCTTCCCTGGGCAGCCTGTTACAATGCTTAATAACTCTTTCAGTATAATAATTTCTCCGAATATCTAAACCACCCCTGGCACAACTTTAGGACATTTCCTCTTGTCCCATCGCTGGTTAGTTGGGAGAAGAGACTGACCCCCACCGCGTTAAAATCTCCTTTCAGGTAGTTGTAGAGAGTGATCAGGTTTCCCCCTCAGCCTCCCTTTCTCCAGGCTGAATAACCCCAGTTCCCTCAGCTGCTCCTCACAGGAATTCAGTTCTAGACCCTTCACAAGGTTCGTTGCCCTTCTCTGGACATACTCCAGCATCTCAATGTCTTTCTTGTAGCTAGGGGCCCAAAATTGAAGGCAGTATTAGAGGTGGGGCCTCACCAGAGCCAAGTACAGGGGGACGATCACTTCCCTAGCGCTGCTGGCTACACTGTTTCTGATATAGGCCAGGATGCTGTTGGCCACCTTGGCCACCTGGCTCATTCGATACCACTGGGTAAGCTGCTTACCTTCTACATCATTGATGCCAACATGAAAAGTCACAGCCTAATGGCCACCTTGGCCACCTGGCTCATTCGATATCACTGCGTAAGCTGCTTACCTTCTACATCATTGACAGTCAACATGAAAAGTCACAGCCTAGGATCACCAGGATCTCAAAAAAGTACTCTCTGCCCTCCAAGTTTCTTCACTAATTTATTTTTTTTTAGGAAGTTAGCCAGCAATTTTAAAGATCAGACAAAACTCAAAGCAGATTCTCTCTTTTCCCTAATGTAAGGGACCTACAACAAAGGACAAAAATGTTGAGCTACAGAAAAGCTAACATGAAAGAGCAAGGCTAAGACAGTGAAAATCAGAGGGAACTCTTCTGCCAAGTCAAATGGCTGGGGAATAGGCACACAGTATGATCTGCAAAGTCTGGCATTAAAAAGAATCATGGAAGAACAAACAAAAGAAATTAAAGAAAACTCTGCAGTCAGAGTGGTATTCTTACCCTCAAGTTTACTCCCTATTTGCATGCTGATCAATTGTGATGAGTTGCAGATTTCTCAAATGCTAAGTTAAAAATTTGTGATATTTAAAAGACATATTTATTTATTTCTAAGCCTTTGAGGATTTTCTCATCTCATTTTCCAATGTGAGACCTATGAATACCTGAAAACAAATCTTGAGATAAGACTGAGTGGCCAGTTCAGCACCAGCAGGCAAGTTTCCTAACCTTTAACACACAAGAAAACACCACACAAACCAGATTTTTTTTTTTTTTAAATCAGTCTACTGCTATCATATACAAATCAGAACATTTGTAAATTTTTTGATCATACCTTTAACACACAAGAAAACACCACACAAAACAGATTTTTTTTTGATCAGTCTACTGCTATCACATACAAATCAGAACATTTATAAAATCTTTTGATCAGTATGTTTTAAAATAGCAATTTTTTCTAAAAAATTTCTGTGAACCAACATTTTACCTATTATAGCAGAAAATTTTATGAGGTTAGGTATCTTCAGCAAAGCAAAAAAATGGGTTAATTGTTAAAGGAAGAGAAATAAAAAAAGAGGTTGAAAGAGTAAAGCGCTTATACAATTGAAACCTAAAAAAGCAGATTCCCAAAGATACATTAGAAGAGGAATGCACAAATATGACCAATTTAAGCACAGGAGAAGTATGATTTGGCAGATATAGAATGCAATAGAATCAATCCGGTTAAATTCCTTTAGTTAATATTGGAAGAAAATGTTAAGAAAGGCATCTCTCTCATAAGGTTAAATTAAGAAGCTTAGATAAAAAAAAATGTTATAGGCACATCAGATCATATCCAGGCTGGCATCCAGGATGTTGCCTCCAGATGGGCTCCTGATAATCCAGTGCTGTTTGGCCGTATTGCTCCCAGCCAAGAAAAGATGCCAATTCCATTTTCTTCAGCATTTCTCAAGGAACAAGACAGAACTGAAAGCAAATCTTCAACAACAATGATGCTGTAACCTCCCTTTTCCAAAAGTCTCGGTTTGGGGATCACTCAGTCACCTCTCATTTGCAGAGAAAATCCAAAGCAAGAGAGTGCACAGAGAAAGGCACTGAGAGGAGCTACCCAGAAAAGCCACCGCGCAGTAATGTCTCTCCATCCCTCAGGAAGCAGCTACCCATTGCCAGCTACAGCGTAGGCACAGATCTGGGGACCAGGGACATGCCACAGGGGGGACAGCTGGCAAGCTGCATGCCCTCTGCCTCCTGCTCAGAGAACAGAAGTGACCCCTTTTCCACTCAGATGATTTTTGAAAGGTAGCAGGAAAACAGATAATAGGGAAATGAAGTGGCTTTTCTCAATGAGTTTTAAGTCCCTTCTCTTCCAGCACCTCTGCAGGTTACATTAGTGGGAGAAGTGTGACCCACACCTCCCCTTCCCACCCGCCTGCCACACTGGGGAAAGGAGAGGAGCCCAGACATCCCAGCCCTGTGCACTTGCAGGCACAGCACCCAAGCAGAGGCCAATTTGGCAAGACAAGTTGTAATCTCAGCTGCACTGAGCATTTGCATGGGGACCTCTAGCTGGGTATTTGTTGCTTCCCCTGCTTTTAGACTCCAGTCCCATCCTGCTTGGTTTGGTGACCTCTGGCACATGCTGTAGGCGACTCCACTGAAACAAAGGCTGTTCCAAAAAGGAGTGGGTTTGTTTTGGCTGTTTTAAAGCAGTTACCCACAGAACGCTTATTTATTGCCTTTTAGTCTCTCTCAGCAATCTCTATGGGTTATTCTAGCCACATACACCAACTATGTTGGAATTACAGAAACAATCACTGAATTGTAATTCAGAGGAAAAATAATAGAAGATCGTGGCTCTCCAGTTTTTGTTGCTTTTTAATGTAAATTTATAATAAATATTCTGGGCTATTTGCTAATTCTCCAGATAATATTATCAATTTTTTTTTAATGTATTTACTCTGGGAATTAATTCAGTTTGATCACTGAGAATATCTCTGCTTCACTTTTGTATAGACTGTCACACGTTCAACACAGGAGAGTCCTTTTCAGTCTGAAGTGGAGGGAAAAGTCTGTACACAGGCTGATACACACCTTCCCCAACGTAGTGCCAGAGTTGAAAGCAGCCCACTTCTCACAGCATCTTGCAATTCTCCTTACAGCATAACAGTTCCATGTACTTCTCTCACCATCGTTCACTGCATCCTCTGTAAAGAGGGAGACAGACCCCAGAATATGAATTGCTCAGTTTGGCCCCCAAAATCACTTTTCACACATTCAAGAATAAGCCAAACCTTTTAAAAAAAAAAAAATCATTGAACTCTACATAGCATTTATAGACAACAAATTATAATCCCTATTCCAAAACAGCTGCTGAATGCTTTAGGTGGTCATGACTATGAAAATATTCCGTATCAAAAACCACCACATGGCTTTCTAAACACATCCTGCTCCATCACAGCATCGTAGCCTGACACTTCATTGCTTTGTCTGCTTCCCAGTATGAAATGTGCTGAATCTAAGAAATTCCTTGTATGTCTATTCATGTCTCCATTCAGCACTGTGCCCACTCTACTTCCTCCTGCATTTAATAGTGTAGAATAAAGAAATATATGGCATAAGGAAATACTTCTTCCATTGCACTACTTTGGGCTTGCCTTTTGTTTGCTTGCTTGGCATTGGGGACTTTTCTCAAGGACAGTTTTCACGAGTAGGTACATTAAGCTCTGTTCCTATTGCTTCAGGACAGAGATACAATATTCAAGCACAAGCTTTGGAGAGAGGATCACTGCACTATAAGTAAGAAGAGATTTTAATGGATGCCTTGAAGGCTCTAAAGCCAGAGAAATGTAAAAGACATACCATTTCAGTGTGTGTCTCCAACACAATTTGGTGCCTTTCCCATTTCAAAGCAGAAGATATTAGTGAGTTGTCTGGTTTAAGAGCATCAGCTCACGGAAGGAGTGGGGACCTACTGTACTTCTGTGCTGCTTTTTTCAATAAACACAGAACAGCTGCAGGGGTAAAAGTGAACAGCTATGTCTGCTCATGAACACCATTGCTGTGTCTTCTGTTCCAGCTCATCCTGGCCACGTGGGAAGGAGGATACAACCTGCAGTGCCAGAACCTCCACAGCGCAGGGGAGGCCGACATCCGGGTGAGAGCCCTTCCCTCCGCACCCTCATAACTGCCTTCTCAGCAATTATAGGGACATTATCAGTGACATCCTTAACGTGAGGGTTTTAATCAGGTTGCCTAACAGCTGGTAACAAACAAGAAGTTTTATCTTTCTGACTCAATACAGATGCACCTGTATTGAATCCTGTAGAAAGCATGACAGGGAGTATTTTGAGAAGCCGTATATCAAGATCTGTGATCAAAACGGTGTTGCCTGACTATTAAAATAGAGAATATAGATAATTTTAAAACTTTAAATCTATTATCTAAAGTGTAACACTTGTTGGGCTGTAGCTGGAAATGGATTTAAGTCCAACTCTAAGCTCTGGAAAACTGCAGAAACGTTTTGCTGGCTTAACCCATCTCTGGTTTCAACCCTTATTTCTGCATCACAGCAATTCCACGTATTAACCCTCTGTCATTCCCCATGTCAGGCTTACATTCCAGATAGTGTTAGAGCTCAAGGACAGAAAGATTGGTTAACCTATATAAATTTTTCCCCAACCCTCAAAATTTGTGTGTGCTATAGAAAGAAAAAGGTCAGTTAAATACCTTTTCCTGTCAACAAGGTGTTTTCCCTCTTTCCATTTTAACTAACTGCCTGGAACACATCCTGAGCTTTGATAAAGTGTCTCAACTCTAGAAGATGGTATATTCCACTGTGTTGAGTGTCAAGTTTGCATTATTTAAAAAGAAGCAGCTGCCAGTAAAATCTGTTCAGCACCAAGAAAATATAAGTGGTAGAACCCTTAAAAAAAAAAAAAACACACAAAAACCCCACACAACTGTTCTTTGATAAAAAAATAGAACGATTAGAAAACCCTTCTTCAAAGTCTGTATTTCTTAAGTTATATTTAGATAATGATATAGTTATACATTCACATAAAAAATTACACATTTTTTTTCCTAAATTGCCTCATTGAAAAGGGAATAAAATTTAAGCAAGAGCTTGTGCTCCTCCTTCAATAGGTTACCATTGCCTTTTGGAAAGTTGCATACCTAGGGACTGACGAAGTACAGCAATATTTAAGCCCTTTTATGGACAGACAGTGATCTCCTGCTGCTTTGTTCTTGCTTGTACAGGTAGCCAAGGTGCTGTGGTGGTATTATTTTTCCAAAGTAATTGAATTCATGGACACTATCTTCTTTGTACTGAGAAAGAAAAGCAGCCAGATCACCTTCCTTCACGTGTATCACCATGCCACTATGTTTAACATTTGGTGGTGTGTCCTGAACTGGATACCTTGTGGGCAAAGTAAGTCTCTGTTCGCGTCATCACCTGGGGTATAAGTCACCTGCTGCGGGAGGGGAACCGCAGCAGCGGGCAAAGGAAGCCTGTCACTGTGCTAGATGGCAACGCCTGTAAGGTTGATAGCCTGTGTTTCAGAACTGCCAACACCTGCAGATTGCAGTAAAATTAAATGCACAGTTAAAAGCTTAACGCAAAAAAAAAAAATAGATCTAATTGTTAAGCCCTAGATTTTCCGCTTAGCACACCTGCAGATTGCAGTAAAATTAAATGCACAGTTAAAAGCTTAAGGCAAAAAAAAAAATATCTGAGTGTTAAGCCCTAGATTTTCCACTTAGATGCCACCACCTCTCATATTTACTCTCTTCAAACCACTTTTAGACAGAGTATCACTACTGAGTAGTACACAAGAATGCAATTTCTATCCAGTAATATAGCATACCAAAAAAAAAACCCAAAATACAATTTTCTTTAACATCAGGGATTGTTTTAGTAGTTACCAGTTCATATCATTATACAGTAGATACTTTTCAAAAGTTAATTTATAAAGGCTTTAGAGAATTTTGTGTTTAGGATAGAACTGAGGGCACTCAGAAGGCAGCAGGCTAAACTAAATCAGCATTGCCTCCATGCAAGTGCACAGCAAAACCCAAAGCTACTCCTTGAACTGTGAGAAGAACTGCCAGAAGTATTCTACAAGGTCTTACATTTCATATTGATACAGCAGCATCATTTGGCTCATTATACCTTGGGCCCAATATATTTCACAACACTAACCTCTAAATGAATTGAATCTTAAGATACTGCAATCTCCCCTGTTAAAGTGGGGAAGATGTTCCACAAGGTGCTCACTTGGTATTTGTATACTAAGTCCAAACAGCAGAGAATGACTTCAGGTGTCTCACAACATGCACACTTTTCCAGGGCTTCATACAACCAGAGGCTTCCTATGGTCTTGTTAACAGACCTGAAAAGGAAATCAGTTTTCTTACTTTGAGCTATTATTGGGAGTCACCTCAGTCCTCTGTAATATTTTGTAAAACAAGTTGTTGCAGGCTTTTTCAGAACAAAAAGCAGAATTCACATTTGTTGGCACTTATTTTGAACAGCACAAAAATCAAAGCAAGTCACTGTTATAGTTAGAAGCAGAGATCAAAGTTTTCACAGCAATTACGAGCTATTTCCACAGAGGAATAAACAACTTAGCAGGGGCTTGTGCTTTCTGTTGTGCCTGAACGTATTCCCCAGACTTTGTACTAGCTTTGTACTATTATAATTAACTTACCGTATGCAGGAGGCATTGCTAACAATAAAATCTTCTTTCACTTTTTAGTATTTGGTGTATTGTTTCCCTTGTTGGATTTTTACAGGTTTCTTTGGACCCACTTTGAATAGCTTTATCCATGTACTCATGTATTCTTATTATGGACTGTCAGTCATCCCTTCTATGCGCAAGTATCTGTGGTGGAAGAAATACCTCACTCAGGCACAATTGGTAAGTGTCTATTTTAATCTCACTTTTGATGACCAGAAATCCTTCAAAATGCCAGAATTGAATGATAGATAAATATTGTCAGTTGCAGAATTAAGCCAGCTGGAATTCAAATCAAAATGCAATCATAGAACAGTTTAGGTTGGAAGGGACCTTAAAGATCATCGAGTTCCAACCCCCCTGCCGTGGGCAGAGACATCTTCCACTAAACCAGGTTGCTCAAAGCCCCATCCAGTCCGGCCTTGAACACCTTCAGGGAAGGGGCATCCACAACTTCTCTGGGCAACCTTTTCCAGTGTCTCACCACCCTCACAGTAAAGAAGTTCTTCCTAATATCTAATCTAAATCTACCCCCTATTTCAGTTTAAAATCATTACCCCTCACACTATCACTAGATTCCCTGATAGAGTCCCTCCTCATCTCTCCTGTAGGCCCCCTCTAGGTACTGGAAGGCTGTTACAAGGTCTCCCTGGAGCATTCTCTTCTCCAGGCTGAACAACCCCAACTCTCTCAGCCTGTCCTCGCAGGAGAGGTGCTCCACCATAGGAGCACCATAAGAGCATCATGGAGAGTACGTCACTAGTACAGCTTGCACAACTTAATAAAGGAAATGATGCTCAGAAATATTTCCTACAATACAGTAGAAACTCGACAGTCCATAAAATTCCACTATTTTTTATATCTTGCATAGAAAATGGACATTGCTTAATCATGGCAAATAGACAGGGACTTCCATTTTCAGTTCAGACTGATAAAGGTATTGCCTGGAGTCTTCAGAGTTTTCTCAAGTTTCTGCCCAGTAACAGAGACAATGCTCTATCTGGCATGACACGGTCTGGGAGACCAAACCACCCCTATTAAAATAAAAGGGCTTTCATTTTGCCAACTAGGCCTCATAATTTTAGAAGTCTGACCCCTTTGTTGTTGTTGTTTTTTTTTTATTTCATAAGAGTGCCATTTTAACTTAATGCTCACAATACAGTCACAGATTCAGAAAGGGACAGTTTGCAAGAGTGCTTGAATTTTCAAAGAGCAGGAGGAGGTGGCTTTGTGATATCTATTTTAGCTAGCACCAACCCTTTCTCAGCAGATACTCATGCATGATCTTTCCTCCACAGATCCAGTTTGTGCTCACTATTGTGCACACACTCAGCGCAGCTGTGAAGCCATGTGGATTCCCCTTTGGCTGCCTCATGTTCCAGTCCTCCTATATGGCCACGCTTGTCATTCTCTTCATAAACTTCTACATTAAGGTAAGCAGTCTCCCAAGAGCTTTCTGATGAGGGTGGGGGAAAATAAAAGAAAAAGAACTTTTCTCACACCAGCTTGATGAACTCACATATAGAATTAGCATCAGTACCTAAAAACACGTTGGTATTAAAATATGTATGCCAGTTAAGAATGACAGATGCAGTAATGTCTGCAAGAAATAGACATTCAGTAATGATGACCTCCCCATTGCAGCTCAGTACTTCCATACTGCAATAACATACAGTTTGTAACAGGGCTCAATTCTGTGCTCGTATAGCAAGTACTGCATTCAGGACTTGGGAGGTCTCAATTTGCTCTGTCGGGCAACTTTTTGAGTCTTCCTCCCTCCTTGGAAAAAAACCAAACAAGCAGCCCTGTCTTTTTAGCAGACTGCTCCAGCCTGCCTGCATACACAGAGCTTCTAGTGAAAAGGGCTTAAAATCTCTTTTGACTTCAAGAAGTATTACAGTAATACTAGTAAGGTAATATCACACACAGCAGTGAAGAAATACAGTTCCCTTAACACAGTCTGAAGGAAATCTATGCATCTGTATCAACAAACACCACACAGCTCCATTTTACAGTTAACCATAAGTAGTGTTTGGAGGCCACTAAATAAATCCAAGATTTACTTTGGATTTTGCTTTTATAGACATATCAGAAAGCACCTTCAAGAACAGCTATAAAGGAAACCCCTGTCACAACGGAAGTCAAGAATGGTTTCCATAAGGACTACTTTGCTGCTGCCAATGGATTCCTGAACAATAAGAAAGCACAATAAGTATAGCATTTCCTATGATTTTTTTTTCTTAAAAAAAAGAAGAAAACAAAGACTGAATTACAAGCTTTAGCTTAAAACCTATTTGAATACATTTATCAGTTCTTTGTACCAGATGCTTATTAATGTACTGCTATTTAGGTTTTAACAAAACAAGTAGAATTACTTGTCCTGTCAAAAATCACCATCAGAATGAGAAGGCCAAGATCTTTCTCATGTGAAAACAGAAACTCTCTCATCTCTAACGCTGACACAAAAACGCCTTACAAAACACTTGATGGGAGAAATCCATCAATGCCTTCAAAATGTTAAGACTCTGTTCAGACTAACACGCTGAGCATTTTCTGTACGTGTGAGAGGTCTCAAGGCAAAGCTTCGCAGTGCACCCAACGCATGTAGCTAAGTTGTGGTCAAGGTCAGGGAAAAAAATAAAAAAAGAAAAAGAATTGTACTGTTTCTGTCACCATACCTCTCTTTGCTGCTTCCCAGTCGTTCCCCAAAGCACATTCCCTTCCATAGACACCAGTGAGGTGCAGTTATCCCTTTGGGAGCCCTGGGAAAGGATATACCAGAGAGCAGAGGCCAGATGCACCATCCCAGAGTTAGCAGACAGACTCATACCTGACTCAAACACCCCAAAGGCTGGCAGGAGCTTGCTGTTTCAGGAGGCTGGACTGGTAGCACATGGGGCTGCCCCATATGATATTTAGAGTATATGATATTACACAATGATACAGGGGTTTGAGCTCTAGTCAGAGTAGAGCAAGTCACTTTGGATGTGCTAAATTAATAGTTCTCAATAAATGCATTTTGAAAGAAATAGGACCTCAGCAACTTAAAGATAAATCCTTTGAGTGTAAACATACACAAGTTAATCCTATACAAACACTGCTAATTTGAAGCAAACTGTTATTCTGTACATTAATAGACTGCAAGACAGAAAATCTTAAAAGTTAATTCAGCAATAAGCAGAGCACATTATATAGGAATTTCTGTGCTAGGTAGGCTTTATTCAGACTGGTCTCTGACTGGAGAAACATATGGGACTGGGGCACAATTCTCTGCAGGGAAAGCAAAGAGATTAAAAACATATCCCAAAACCCAGAGTCACAAAACCTGGACTCTATGCATATACAAGTTCTCACTGGCCCTCCCAGAAACTTTGCTTTGTAGACCTTTCTGGTTGATGCTGTAAAGCTCAGAAGTTATAAGAAATTAGTAGGTTTGACTGAAGGAGTTGTACGTGGCCCTAAGCAAAGGGAGAGCTTCACAGCGAGCTCTGCAGATGTCAGCTTGATGCTGGAAACCTGGGTAAAGGCAGAGGGAATCAGAGGAGCTGACAAGAGAGGACACTAGGCAACTGGCCTCCGTTCATTTCAGGCAGGCAAAAATGCAGTTCTGTAGCCCATCATGGATTTTAGGCTGAGCGGAGTCCTTAACCTTTTGACAGCAAAGAATGCATTTGACTATCAAGGTGGACAATGTCAGCGTGATAAACAAAGTTTACTATGGCAACCAAACCCACAGATATTGTCTTTTGTTTTGTTGAAACTGCATTCAAAAGTAAAAGAAAGAAATAAATGCCTTACTTGAAGCATAAAGGGCTGGGGGGGTGGGAGGGGCAGGGAAGGAAAAAAAACCCAAGATGGTCTCACCTTGCAGATCCAGACCAGCCAGGAAGGCTGGAATCAGGTATGTTTTAAATTCTTCAGATCTGTCTTAACATCTTCAAAATGCTGCAACTTTGAAGAAAAGGAAGCGTTGACTTTTTAAACTGATTTTCCTGTAATACATAACACTGTAAATAAAGAAATTTTACTATCAGGATGTCTATATTCCCCTTTATTTAAGGCATCAAATTGCTGGGAACTGGTTATTCGAGACTGCTTTTGTTCTGAAGTTTTTTCAAAAAGCTGTTAGGACATTTACCTTCAGCTGAGAAGAAACCTCCATGACTTTACACACGGAATCCATGCACACAGATGTAAAGCTTCCTTGTGCTTTTGTACAACTGTTGGCTGTACTCTGCTCCCCTCGTTTACTGGGTAGGTGACATTCCTGCCTATCATGCTCACTCACACACCAATTGGGTTGATAGGAAACTGTTCTCTACAGTGTGCAGACACAAGATGTCTACACTTCCTACTTGAGATAGCTTCCTTCCGTAGACTGAACACCCCTCTCCCTCCCAGACAGTCCTGCTTCTTAACAGTGGTTCTGGAGGCAACACAGACTCCCAGCTCTCCTCTGGCTTTTAGTTCAGATACATGAAATAGACAATTTGAATACCTCTTATTGAGTTTGCCTTTTCCAGTGGAGAGAAAACACACTTGCAGCCCAAACAGACTTGTTAAAATTATCCTGGCCCTGCTGTCTCCCTGTTCCCAGGCTCTCCTGCCTTGCAGACAGGCAGGTGAGTTCCTTTTGATTCATCAATTATAAATGGGTCAAAAGAGCCGCCTTGACTTTGACAGAGGAAAACTTCTAAGTATTGCATTCTAAGCATCCCACTCATTAAGTCAAGTGAGTTTGACTCCCAATTCTTTTTATTCATATTTAGTTTAAGGCACTCTGTGGCACACAAAAAAAATAATATTTTGCTGTGTATGACAATGTGAGGGCATTACCAAAGCATAACTGGAGATTCATAGTTGAGAGCTGGTGAAGATAAAATTTACAGAACATCAGCTCTCCACCCAAAACAAACCTACCTGGGGAGGAAGAGCCTGGTTTACCTGTTATTTGCTAAGATGTAGAATCCTGTCAGTCAGTCCAGACTTCCTTACCAGCAACACAGCTTCTTGTGCTTGTTGTTCGTGCTATATAAAGGTTTAAAAATATCTCATTTAGGATTTCTATCTGACAAAAATAAATCAGCAGTCAGCACCTAGTAAGAAGCATGTGAATCTACAGCAACTCCTGTGCAGACTTGGCAGCTAGGAGAGGCTTCTAGTCAACACACATCTCCCAAAGGATGGAAGTTATTCGGTTTAGTTTGCTTTACCAGAGAAGAGAATGAAAATCAGGTTTCTCCACAAGTGATCTAATCACTTGCACAGCAAGAAAAATAAAAGCATCATACAGCATCCTTCCCCTTCACAGGGGGAGTCCCACTCAAAAAGTGTTGCTGGATTGAGCTGTTCAACCTTAACTTGCCGTTAGTTTCCAGTCCATAAAACACAGAAACTATATGCAAAGGAATCCTTGACACCCAGCTCCACCCATGAAGGGAAACCTAGAAAGCAGTAGGATACTGGAATGGTAAATGTTAAGGCAAAGATGCTCCCTGGTTAACATGCTCACTCAACAAGTGGGCAGTCAGTTCATTGCTTCTCTCACAACCAAACCATCATAAAAACAAACATAACTAGAACAATTCTGAGTGCTGCTGTAAAGCTCGGTACTAGACGTACCACGCAGACATGGTATCTAGCAGCATGGATGGAAAAAAGTTGGTGTCATTCTTGGAAAGAGATAAAAGCTGTAACAGCTGATAGTGGCAAAGAGGATTCAGTCTGAAATCAGCTCCTATCAATGTACAGGCTGAGTAGGAATTCTGGCAACTGTGTGTTCATGGGACACTTCAAGCCACATTCACAGAAAGCAGCAGTCTCTCTGTACTTTATTTCTTCGCAAGGACTGCCAGCCCTTAAATAGTTCTTTTTTCCTCCTCTTATATATACTCTCTCTTTGTGCTATGTTTAGAAGGAATTTCCACATCCTATCATCTGAAAATGAAGTTTGTCAGGCATGTTTTCATTTAGTAGCATGCCTGGACCACTCCAGGGGAATGGGAGAGGAGACCAATCCAACAGGCAAACCCACAATCGCATAATTGCCTGCATTCACTGAGGAAAATTTGTTGTATGGAAAAAACCCCAACATCACATTTTACCAAGCTCATCCTCTGGCAATACTTCAAATGGGAGGGCAGTACCAATCACCTTTCTAACATGCTTTCAGGGCATTGCCTTTACTCTGAATTGATGTAACAAGAGTTTTATGCTGCTGGCAACTCCTCTGTCCTACAGAGCATCCGTGCCTACAGAAGGTGTTCATACCCACATTGAGCCTCAAGACTCTGATAAAAGAGTCCCTTCATTATGTGTCACCATCAGCCAAGCAGAGATCATGGACTGAATGAAGAATCAGATATTGCAGCTTTAAGCTTCCTTCACCCATAAACATCCAGCATGAAACAAGTCCAGCAGCACTTCCTACCCTTGTAAATGAAGGCTGAAGCATATCTCTGCCAAGGTACAATTGTTTCTTTAGGTGGAGCAGACTGATATCCAACAGCTTTGTAAAGACTGAAATCAGAAGCTGAGGCACAAGAAGGATAGCTCCGCAGTCCCACACCTAACTAGTTAGCACTACAAGGAGTCATGATTGTTCTCCAACAAGATACTGGAGTTTAGGGGAGTTATGTTTAACTAACGATCCCACCTCTGGCAAATTTCCAGTTTCTAGACTTAGATTATGGTGTCCATGGAAATGCCATACACATTCCATACACTTCTGACTCAATTTTAACCTGAACTAAACTACTAAACCAATTAGCACTTTTTCCTATCACACTGTACTATAGCTGGGAACTCCTAGCTCATACACAGCCCTGCTACCTATAAAAACTTGTCATTTGAACAAAGCTAAGATTGTAATAAATGGGTTGTTCAAAGCTTGTACTTACCCATCAAGTCATCTGTTGATTCTTAGATTCATTTTCTCCGGTGTCTCTCCTCTGAGTTTTTTTACTATCAGGGTCCACCTTAAAACAATCTCAAAAATATAATTTCTTTCACAGAAAGCAGCAGTCTCTCTGTACTTTATTTCTTCGCAAGGACTGCCAGCCCTTAAATAGTTCTTTTTTCCTCCTCTTATATATACTCTCTCTTTGTGCTATGTTTAGAAGGAATTTCCACATCCTATCATCTGAAAATGAAGTTTGTCAGGCATGTTTTCATTTAGTAGCATGAAGTAGTATGAAAATACAAACACGAAGGGGAGATGTGCAAGCACTTGACCCTGCTGTTTTGGGCTCAACAGAACGTATACTTAACCAGGGAAATAAAGTGGGAGAGAGAGCACTAAGTTTCATTCACTGGTTTTGGATGTTAGTAGCCTCCCAAGGGATGAAGAGGAAGGAATAAGCTTTACTAAGGCCCTTCCAGGAACACTGGAACTAAAGGAGAGAAGTCAGGCTGCTGATGTGTGCCAAGGCTCAGCTTTACAATGCTTCTTTCACAGTCTGGCTATAAGTAATGCTTTTTCAACTCTTGCTTATGATAAACGAAACCCACCCTGTAACAGATGACCAAGAAAAGTTGCTGGGTTTGTTTCCAATATACAATAGCTCTCAGCTGCTCTTGGAAATTTATCTATTTTCCAGTGCATCATTCTTTCAGACACTGCCCTGCTGCTTGCAGAAGAGGGACCTGTCCCAGCACACTGATATCAGCACACTACTGGGAGCAGGGCAAACCGACCCCAGGCCAGAGCAAACACAAAAGGACAGTTCCTCTGGTCACTCTGCTTGTTTTCAGCCACAGAGGACACCCTCTTCGCTGGCATTGTGTAGCCTTGCCACTGGGTACCAGTAGCCCTCTAGACCTTGGATAGACCATTGCATTGATACAGAACGTGCAGGTAAACAAGCACTTGGAACAGCATCATCCCCCAAAAAAGATATGGCATGAAGATAGCAGGGGTTATAACAAAGTTTAATATTAAACTGGTTAAGAACTTGAAATGCATGAAGTAGTTGTCCTTAACCCGCACTTTGCATTTCCCATTCTTCCACTTTTTCTGGGTACTGATGCATGGCTATTGCACTACAGCACTCACATCATCTTTGTTTTTCTGGCTCAGAAGAACAGGTTGAAAATTGAGCCTTAACTAATGGAATGGAATCGCATGGCATGGAATGAAATAGGAAATGAAATAAAAAGCTGGATAAATAGCACTTAAAAGAACATAAGTGAACAGGCAAAGGAAACCTGCCAGGCCTACCTTCCAAAAGGAAATGTTAGGGCAACCCAGTTACAGGTCTGTATTGCCAAGATATCATCTGCAGAAGCCTAATGGATTTAAGACCCTCAGGAAGTTTCAGCTCAACCATGCTGAACTGACCCAACAATGCAGGAAATGGTATGAGATGGGCTGTCCAAGACCAGAAAGAGTCATTCCTGCCCCAGGTGCTGTCTCCAAACACCAACTGCTAAAAACTACAGAGGGTAAGACCATTAGGAAAGACCAAAATTTCAAGCATGTTCTCACAGCTTGGACAGTTCACAGGTTACCAAGCTAGAACTCACTGAGCTTCTCAATAGATAAAGTGTTTATGTGAAGGAACACAAAAAGAAGTGCAGGGGTAAGAAACAGCTAGGCTGTACAGCATCCCTTTCTGCTCCCCCATAGCTATCACTAAAAGCAGCCTTTTAGGCTTCAAACTTTTCCAATAAAACAGTTAAAATCAAATGTAAGTGCATACAACATTATAATAACTTTTAGTAAATAAGAGATCCTGGTTTCTCCTTCATCCACATCCTCTGAAGTGCTCAACACTCAGCTTCCAAGCTTTATAGTGACAGATTATACAGGAAATCAACAGTAAGAGATAGTGAGCATCAGTCTTGTTTCTGTAAATTATCTAGCAAAGATACTTGGATGAAAAATTTTTAGTCACAGAAGACACCAAGAGAGCATTCTGTCCGTACACATCAAGGGTGGGGAAACGTAGCAAAACAGGACTTGCTACACATCTACTCCATTGTGCTGACAAAGCTTGAGTGCCTTAGCAGCTCTAACTTAGAGAGCAAGGAAGCCATCAAACAACATCTCAGAAATGAAAAGGCAACCATTATTGTAGTTTGAAAAAAAATAAAATTGTTTTTTAAAAAAATCCTTAAACCATAGAGAGCCACCACACCTGACCCCCTTCCTTTTTCAAACCTTCCCTTTGGGCAGTGAGCTCCTTGGGGATGCAGGATGAAACTGTCCTTAAGAACTGTTTCAGCCCCTCAAAAGACATTCAGTGGCAAAACAAACCCTGGCCGAAGTGGGCTTTTGTCATGAAGGTACATTGTGTGCAGGGAATGATTCCCTCCACTCCAACCACACAACAATCTGAGATTGATTTTATAAGATAAGTAGATAGAAACACAGAGCTTGGAAACATGCCATGTTCCCACAAATTCATTAAGATGCAGCAGCACGTGCAAAGTCTGCCACAGCATTAGAGGCAGTTTGTGAAGAGCAACCGTGATTTATTTAGGGAACTCTGTCAAAACAGAAGACAGTGTTAAATAGCATGGTTTATTCTGCTACTCTCTTTCAAGAGACCTTTGATGCTAGTTTATCTAATCTTAACATTGTTCACTGTACTTTGAACTCTCCCAGAAGGCAATAGTTACTGGTTTTAAAAATAATTTCTCCAGCTTCACTTGCCATTTTCTCTGCAATGCTGCAAAGTTTCTTGCCCTCCATAGTCTCCAGTTTGCCATCAGGCATCTGGCCAATACCTAGTGTATCCCTCTTGTGCTTTTATCTCTGCAAACTGGAATTGAGTGGCTCTGGTTTCAAGCCAGCAGTTCCCAGAGCGCTGGACACACAGGAGAAAGGGGTACCCTTAGTGTGTCCTGTGCAGGGCATACAGGACTCCTTAGTACTTACTATAGGCAGGCACAGTGCATCAATTCAAAAGAAATGAGGAGATTTTTATCCCATGCAAAAATTATTTTACTTAGAATCAGTCATTAAATGCGTCTACATTTGATAAAGGTAGTAGCAGAATACTCAAAGAAAGCCAGTATACGCATCAGTTTGGTGGCTAAATCATGATATTTAGTTCATTTTCCTATTTCTTTTATATTTAACGGACCCACCTTGCAAATTTGCAGAAAACCTCAATGCTATCAACACAGGGGGTCAAAACTCAGTGTATATTCCTTTTAAGCAAAAAAAGACTCAATATCATTGTTCTTTTCCTCCCCTTTTTTTTCTTTCCATTTAAAATAAATTAATATCCTTCACAGGATCATCTTCTCTATGCTGCATAAGGTGCTCAAATGTTAAGAGCAGTAATGAATTCAGGGGTTTGCTAATCAGAAGGAACAATGAACACGTTGTTTTCTACTGGCTTCTTCACTGGGTGTTCATGCTGTAGGGAAGGAAAAAAAAAAGAGAATGAAAAAGATTTCAAAAGCTTATACAAACATTTGTATTGCATGAGAAAAGGAATTGTAGAGATCCTAGAAGCACACCTAGATTCAGCTTTTAATTCTCAAGCACCCAGCCAGGAACAAGGTGCTGCAGGATGAGCAGCTCCTTCTTCAGCCCTGCCCCTCTTTAAAGCTGTCCTTCATCAGGAGCACCTCTGGTAAAGGAAAGGCCCTCTGTCCTGGTGCAACTCAGTGCTTCTAATGGAAACTTTTCCCTCCGGAAAGGGTGAGTACAGCAGCTTTAACAACTAAGGGAAACAAGCCCTCAGTTTTCAGCATCTTTTCAAAAATCCCAGTCCACTGTAGTGACCACAGACATGGCTGTCCCTTCAACGCAGGGAGCTTTCTTCAGTGCAGTGCAGTCACACAGCATCACACACACCACAGGAAACCCCCAAAGCCATCAGGTCTGCACATAAAAGCTGGAACAGCAGCTGTAGCAAATACACATGTGCATGTGATGGGGTGGAAAACTAAGCACTGTATCAAAGTTAACAGAGTATTCAGCTTAAACTGCACATTAAAATGAGGACATAATTAATTAATAATTAAGTAATTAAACTCTGAAGAGTTTAAGAACTTAAGCAATATTTAACTGGGATTCAAGACAAATGAATAAATTTGTTTTTTAGAAATCAAACTTGGAGGCATCAAGGCTAGATGTTGTCAGACCCAAAAAGCAGATGAAAGCAAGCATACAAAGTGTTGTCAGGCTGCAGAGCACCTAGCCACAGGATGGCACAGATGCACAATCCCAAGAACAAGTGGGACAAAGTGAGAGAAGAGAACTGCATTAAAGATTACTAACTACACAGAAACCAGCCTCTGGATGAAGGAATCCCTGAGATACAAACTCAGGAGAAGCATCACCACCTGAAAGTCCTTGTCCTCACCTTCGCCCTTAAATAAGTGCTTTTTCACCACTTCCCCTAGTCCCTGGCAGGGCAAATACTGTTTTCTCAATGCTTTCCATGCATTAGGACTGCAAGTCCCATGAGGAACCAAAGCCCCAGAGATAGCTAACCAGAGGTTTCCCCTGCCAGGGCTTCAGTTTCATCTTTTCACTTCCAACAGTTATCAGTCAGGCCACAGTTCAGAGTCCACCCCCCGTACAGAGCTGCTCGTGTACTGCACATACCGTTGTATTCTGGATGCTGTTGGCAAAACTCTTTGCTGTTTCACCCAGGGCTGAGTCAACAGACTGAATTCTGGAAGAAAAGTGAGCTTGGCTAGTTTGTCTGTGAAGTGTTAGTACCCACTGAAAAAGCTTCAACAGAGATATTTACCAATAAAAATGAACCTCAGGATTCCCCTTTTGCAGCTTTTTACCCAGCATTTGTACCAACAGTATGTTTAATGTAGGAAATGATCACCGCATCCTACCACCTCTGACCTGTAGATACAGGTGTGGTGATCTTGTTCCAAATCCTGGTACAGGTCTCCTGAGGTATGTGCTTGTCTTGCACAGCTTCCCTCATTGCACCCTAGTCCCAATTCAAAACTCTCATGAGGCTGCAAAGGCTCCATTAATGGACACCGAGTGGAGACGCCATACTGACTTTAGAATACTTCCCCATATACCAGCAAGGATACCACCAGACTAACCAATGCCCTTTTTGACCATCTGAGTAATTGTGAACATGCAGGACAGCTGGTAGAGACATACCTTTGCTTTTCCTGATTGCAGAAAGAACTGAGTTTGAGCAACTGCTCATTCAAGAAGTCCTAAAAAGAGCCCCAAAGAAAACTCTCATTACTTGGGAAGGGGTACCTCCAAGGCCTGGCACAGAAGAAGCTGTACACACCACTGCATCCTTCTCCATGCTTGCCAAGATTTGAGTTTCCTTCTGAAGGCTGGCAAGCTCTTCAACAAAAATCTTCTGAAAGGCCTCCAACTTACTCAGCCTAGTGATGGAGAACAGAAATGCGTTTGACACTTTAACATGCAGTAGCCCAAGGCAGATGACAATCCCTTCAGCACCAAAATTGCCTTTAGGCAGAAGCAAATGTCCTTGATGAACCACATGGGGCAGGTTTGTTCTCAGGTCTGTCACAGAGTACTTGACTAGCTGTACCAGCTCAAACAGAAGACAAATTTAGCTAGATTAGCCTGTCTTAAATACCAGCTAGTAACAGAGGCTCAGGACAGAGCATACAACAGGGTTCACAGTGCAATACTTGCCCTGCAAACTCTCCCAAGACTCCAGGGATTTCAGTAGAGATTTCCCAAGCTGGAGAAAGCATCTTGGCACAAATAACCTTTAATGGGTCTTCCTACCATGGAAAAAGGAGATTTTTATCCCATGCCACAGTATGCCACGTACAGTGTTGCCGCAGTATGCCAGTAATTTCTAAACCTTAACAAGCAACACCCTTTTTTGCTTGGGTTTGCCACCTTTTTCCAGGCAGTAGTATGCCAAGCCATCATCTGACTGCAACTTTAGAGACTACCCTTCTGGGGTAGGACAGATTTGGTACAGCTCTGTCCCCAGTATCCTGCAGCTCTGATTGGCTCCAGGTTACTTAGTTAACATCAAAACATGGCAGCAGTTCACTGCCATCATCTTCCACCCCAAAACATTCCCTGGTGGTGTTTTTTGGAACAAAAATTTCTCCATGTACCTTAATGACAAGGAGTTTGTGCTCATAGATACCAATACCAGGGATTTTGTATTTTAAAGGCTATTATTTTATACTGCATTTGATCTAAATACTGCAAACTGAATGTGTGGTAGATAGAAAGGCCTGATAGGCTTACTCATATCTTAGGCTATACTTGTATTTCACTTATAACAAATCCATAACTATAATTGACTTTTTTACCTAGCTGCTGAGAAATTTGACAACCTGTGAAGCAAAAGTACCTTCTTAAAGCCCCATCTGGTGAGTAGCTGTAAAGTCCACTAACTAGCACATATCTTGTGCACATGGAAACAATCTGCAGAAATGGGTCTATAACAGACGCCTTACTTTTCTTCTCCCTCACTTCATTAAGTAAATCAGACCTTGGCTTCTTTCTTAAAACACACAGAAACAGAAGTTACTAAGTATAACAAGAGTGTTTTAAAATAGATTTGTGAACACTGATGACAATCAGAAGACAGTCTAAGGACGGCTCCATCGACTGCTCCTAACTCAAGTTTGCTTTGCATTAATCCATCCACTCTCCCCCTAACAGGCAAAGCAGGATAAATCACAGAAGCTACGGTTCTGAAGCCCTTCTAACAGAAAAGCAGGAGACACACACACAGGCTATTTTGCCTTGCAAGCCATAGTAAGTTCAGTAGCTTTACTGTCAGGTCTGCTTACAAAGAGGCATTTATTTTCATATCAATCAAAATTTACACAAAACTGATGCTGTTTTCAGCTAGCAGCAAACAACTTACCTGCATTCATGTATCTGTTTCAGCAGGGTGGACACATTCTTCTCTGAAGTCCTCAGGGTGTTCTGTGCACTGATCTCCATCCTTTTGTACTGGGACTAGCCACAGGATGCACCATTAGGGATAAGCAATGGCCCAAGCCAAAACCTAGAAGTCTAATTTGCAAGACCCTTCCCTGGAAGGCAAATCCCTCCACAGGCTGCTGTTCAGCTTAATGGAAACCATCTTAAACCAAATTTAAACTGAAGTGAGATGGCTTGTAGCCAGGATACTGCAAATATGAACTGATTTCGTTCAGCCATGCTAGTAACAACAGTAAGCTTCTATGTAACCCATGCAACTTCAGGGTCATGTTATCCAGCCAGCAAAGAAGTGAGCATCACCCATACACCAACACACTTAACTACATTAAAACAGGTCTTTGTTGGCATTACTTCAGATCAGCATTAATGAAAACTATGCATTTAAATCATAACTGATTTTTAAATGCAACTACCTCCAGCCTTGATTCAAGGACTTAGTGATAAGAGTTTAGTGAGAACACCAAGCACCAGCTCCAAAAAAAGTAATGGTTGCACGATACAAAGTGCTGGTCCACTACAAGTCTGCTCTGCCACATCTAGTTTAAAAGCTTTGAATAAACATGAGAAGATTTTGTGATTGGTCACTGTGCTCTTCTATTAAACTTGGTTTAATGCCCATGTTACTTACTATAAATAAGTCAACAGTAACAGTTGGTTACTTGTAGTGCTTCTCAAGTATGTCTATGCAGCCAAGTAAACCAAGAATACACAGCTTATACACTACCAATTGTGCAACTAACACCTCCATGTACCATTAATCTCAAAGATACAAGTGTGTCCCTGTGGATCTACAGTTGTTCTAGCCAATAGGTATACTTACATTGCTTTCTGGTTCTTATTATGAACAAGTTGCATAGTTTTACATCACAGGGTGCTATGCTCCAGATGGGATGGATCTACAGTTGTTCTAGCCAATAGGTATACTTACATTGCTTTCTGGTTCTTATTATGAACAAGTTGCATAGTTTTACATCACAGGGTAAGTGCTGTGCTCCAGATGGGAGTTTCTGCATTTTTGTTGTGCCCATTAGGATGATAGCCCAATAGCTCCAATGCAGGTACACTGTCACTATGCTGAGTTACCTTTCAAAAAGCTTTGATCCCTTCCCTCTGAGGAAAGTATTTGAAATGCCCAACCAAATTCTGATGTTCCAAAATACAAATAAGACAAAAAAGGTAAAACCCAATTAAAACTTTCTTTACGCCTTTCCTGTAACACTTCTTGCAGTTTACAGGTCATGTACAATACTTTTAAGAGCTCCAGGCTAACAGACACTGCAGCCAAAACCCTGCTCTTGGGCACAAAATATTGATGGGATGTTTGCACCAACTCCCCTGGTGATAAAAAGGTAATCTCATGTACTATAAGAAAATGCCCCGCACAGCACTCATATTAAGAGAGTGCACATTACCCAGAACAACTTCTTTAGTTGGCTGATAAAGCTTTCAAATGCAGCAGCCATCCCTGAATCACTGAAGTCTTCATACGGCATCTTGGAAAAAAATGCATCATCCACACTATCATCCATCTCCTGACCTAGAAGAAAGTGTGTGGCCAGTTAGTACCTTGCTGTAGGGCTTAGTGGAATATAAAACCTCCTGCTACTGAAGGGTTCATTGTCCACGTGAACCACATTTCTTACAGAGAATTTGAGTCTTGTTCTTCTAGAAGAGGAACTGCCCCAAAAAGCAGACCTCCTGCTACTGAAGGGTTCATTGTCCACTTGAACCACAACATTTCTTACAGAGAATGTAAGTCTTGTTCTTCTAGAAGGGGAACTGCCCCAAAAAGCATTGAGAAAGACTTTTTAGAAAGCACCATGGAAGAAGAGGCATAATACTAACCAAACACAAAGAACAACATGTTTACAGATAATGAGGTAAAAGCATAGCATAAGGGGGTTACGCCTTTCCTGTAACACTTCTTGCAGTTTACAGGTCATGTACAATACTTTTAAGAGCTCCAGGCTAACAGACACTGCAGCCAAAACCCTGCTCTTGGGCACAAAATATTGATGGGATGTTTGCACCAACTCTCCTGGTGATAAAAAGGTAATCTCATGTACTATAAGAAAATGCCCCACACAGCACACATATTAAGAGAGTGCACATTACCCAGAACAACTTCTTTAGTTGGCTGATAAAGCCTTCAAATGCAGCAGCCATCCCTGAATCACTGAAGTCTTCATACGGCATCTTGGAAAAAAATGCATCATCCACACTATCATCCATTTCCTGACCTAGGAGAAAGTGTGTGGCCAGTTAGTACCTTGCTGGAGGGCTTAGTGGAATATAAAACCTCCTGCTACTGAAGGGTTCATTGTCCACGTGAACCACATTTCTTACAGAGAATTTGAGTCTTGTTCTTCTAGAAGAGGAACTGCCCCAAAAAGCAGTGAGAAAGACTTTTTAGAAAGCACCATGGAAGAAGAGGCATAATACTAACCAAACACAAAGAACAACATGTTTACAGATAATGAGGTAAAAGCATAGCATAAGGGGGAAAAAAAAAAAAAAAAAAAAAAAAGAAGAGTCAGGCCACTGTTTTCCTCTCTTCTACTTGTTCCTTGCAAGGAAAGCCTAACCCACTTCTCCTCAGAGTTTACAGTGTTTTGCAGTTACGTTGTCCATTATTTGCATATTTTTTTTCAGGTATTTTTTTTTTTAGTAGCTCTGGAAAATCACCATACAGAAAGGCTAAAAAGGGCAGACATCATTGAGCAGCTTCCCAAGTGAATTGTGGTTAGGGAACTCAAAGTTCCTTATTCAGACCTCTGCATACGTGGTATCCAATGGCAGTGCCACAATACACACCCTCTGCTACATTTTGACTTTTGGAGAAGATATCTCCCCTACAGATACCTCTCTTCAAGCCCCCATGTGACTATGATTTCTACCGTCAAAAAAGAAAAGCTGAAAGTATTTAAACACTTCACCTTAATTGCCAGCCTGATTTTACCTGTTTTGATCTCTGCTTCCATCTCTACTGAATCAAAAAGTTTCCTTCGTACATTGGAAATGTCAAAGAACAAATGACTTGTTTCCTGACTGGAATATTTAGGCTTTTTAATGACAGCACCACTGCGTATACCTAGAAAGAGAACAGAAGATGTTTCAGAAAAGATCTGTTCTTTTGCATGAGGTACATGGTAGTACCTACCAGCTACTGAAGTAGAAACCACCACTGGAATTACTAATTCTGCAGAATAGCAACCAACTTCATTTTAGGGTCTGGCACTTACAGAACAGGATAAGACTTCACCAGCATGTCTCTTCACTCACGAAAGCAGGCAACTATAGTGCTATGCAGACAACAATATCATCTTCATCTTAAAAACAATTTAATTTCTTGGTCCACTTCTCTAACCATAAAAAAAACCCTTTCATGTCCAGCTTCTTCCCATTCTCTTTTCTGAGCCATGCTCGCAATCTGAAGTTGCACTGCACTTTGAAGTCATTAAAACTTCGTTTTCAAACATCATCTTTTATTTATTTCATATCTTTTATCTTGGGTCACTGGGTTTGTAAGTTCCCAGCTCTTAATAGCTATACTAGTAGCTCCTCTGTGATCAAGGACAGGACTTAAGAGTTAGTAATAAACTCAGGAATGTAAATAAAAAATTATCTTGCTGTAGCCAGTCACAATATACGATATTTCTTATGCAAGAAGTATCCTTCAAATATCAAAAATCTCAGTGCCTACTTGTCTTTGAAAGAAAAACTAAAACTCTGTCAACATCCCATTCTGCTCTTTAAACAGCCCTTCCATGTTACAAAGACTAACAAACCTGAGTCCTTCCGCTTAAAACTCTCTTCTTCTTTTGACAATTTTTCAGATGCATCATTAAGCTTCTAAGGAGAGAAGGGAAAACACAGTAAGAAGGTACCACCCTGCACTGCAGACAAGCTGTCAGGGGTTTTCCTCGTTACAGGAAACAAAGCAACACAATGCACTCTTTTTTGATGACTGACAGCAGATCAGAAGGAATGTGAGTGCTGTGTACCGCACCTGCGTGGCCTTCTCGTCATCACTGGAATAGCCCTTGGAAGATGCATCAAGTGAGAGCGGACTCCCTTTGAGCTCCTCTGAGAGCATTTCATCTGTGTGAGACATCAGGCAAACGGCACAGGAAATAGAGACTGAATCAAGTATTGACTAGAAAGCTCAATTTAAATGACATATTTAAGAGGGAAAAAAAAATCCACCACCCGCTCCTTTACCTCTTCACACAGGGAACTGACAGTGGATCAAACTCAGTCCGAAGGCTGTTTTATTTCTGGGTATCAATTAAGTTCATTCCTTCATCTCTCAGCCCCAGCTAGTGTTTTCCCTGCCCAAGACGTTATCTACAAACAATGTCCAGCCCTCATAACCATTACAAGAAACAGGGCAGAAGGCTTATGAAGAAAACGTGAAGGAAAAAGGCAAAATTTTAAAAAGAACAAACACACACCAAAAACACCACCCAAAAAGTGCACACCCAGACATATCAAAACAACTTTTCTAATGCATTGAAGAAGATTAAAAAGAAATACCAGCAAGATCCACTGTGAGTAAACTGTCTTCCTTGGAGCTGGATGTGCTTTTTTTCCTTAGCATCTCCTTTTGAGCTCTTCGCCTTGAAGTTTCCTGCAAAAACAAAATCAAGTCTAAGCATGTAGTTTATTTAAACTTTACTACACAAGTAGGGGTTTGGGTTGGGTTTTTTGGGGGGGGACATTTTGTTTGGTTAAACACACTAAGAGCAGAGATACACCTGAAATATGCATAACATACTGATAGCTCTCTCTGATGCTGAGGGAGACCTGTGCCTTGAAGTTCAATGCATGCAGTTCTCCCTTTAGCCATTAAGGTTGTATAGTGGGTGAAGTTTTTCATAAGTAGAATCAAAGCATTTTAGTCAAGAAAGAAGAGAAAAGGTTTCTGGGGAAAACAAAAGCTTTCAATGTAACTACCAGTTCTGGAGAGATTTTTTTCCCAGATTTTCTGTATTTATGTGGGGACCTTTCCAAAACATTTGGCACACGGCACTTAAGAGCTGGGCACTGGAAAAGCCTGGCATTGCTAAACTGCATTTAATTTTGCTTGATATATGTTCAGTCCACTAATTCTCCTAACCATGGGTGGTACTGATGGCTTTCCCAGAGCTATAGCTGAAAGCAGAGCAGGAGAGTGCATGAACCAGGACTCATAATGAGCATAGGACTTGGAATAAAAGCCCTGAAAATTGCCAGCAAAACACAGAGCAGAACATGAGTTTTCCTAAGGCATCAAATGGCAGGACAGGGGAGAGGACAGCATGAGGACACAGCCTGGTAGGACCCAATTGGAATTTCTGCAGGTATTTAGATAGGCAGCTCTAGCTCTTGGCATACCCCTAGAGCCAAACTCATTCCTGTTGGAGTGACACCTGCATCAAACCAAGGCAGGTGTCACACCAAGCATGCCAATTCCTACCCAATTTGCCATTACAGAATGATATGGGTATTCCATCTATCATAGATAAATATTATAGTTTTCAGAACAACTTGCTTGGCACTCATGCACAGTTGTTTCTATGAAGTTTCACGTGTTTTCCTAAGATTTCCTTGTTGCCCCAGCCTCTCATACACCAACAGCAACACTTAGTAGGCAAATTGGGCCATCAGAACATTTGAGAAGATAGATAGCACTGGTTTATTTAATTCCAACCCATTTGTACATGTTTTGTATATGTAATGTTTTTACATCCAAGGCACTAAAGCATGACAGCTCCCTACCTTCTTTGTCTGGTAGTCACTGCCGCTACTTGCGGAAGACATTGGAAGCACTGCAAGGAGAAAAGTTCACCTGGTTACTGGCAACAGAACTGTGTGTCTTAACCAGTTACAGTTTGCATCACAGCTAAATAAGTTTCAAGTTTGGTTTTCTCAGCATTTACAAGAGAAAACTTCACAACACTTGCATTAAGCTTCAAAGCCCCCTTCTAATAAGCCTTCTAAATGATGATGCATATGCACACAACTCACTGTATCCAGAGCAGTTGCCAGAAAAAGGAGGCAAGCTCAGCAGTTTTTCCAGTGGTCCCCAAGCTACAGCAGGGGTGCATGGGCTGGCACTGGAGTGAGAACAACTCCTCCCATGGAAATACAGAATAAAGCATAATTTCTCCCTCAACTTTCTTTTTCATCCCTACAGAAACCAATAGCTACCTGAGCAAGGTTCATCCTCCATGAGAGGGACAGAGAGCTTCCAACTCTTTCTGGGGAATTTAGTTTGGAGGTCCCAGCAGCCAACATAACCATGGAGCACAGCCCCAGGGGAGGTTTGCTGCTGGTCAAGCCTAAGCAGAGGATGCTATCAGAGATTATCACACCTGATTTTGCAAATCCCTCTGAGCACAATTGCTCTGTCAGTGTATAAACAAGGGAGCAGGGTGCCATGGTCTGCAAACGAGGAGTGGAAAGTTGTAGGGAAGAGGTATGGCAACTCCAGAGAGATCTTCCTCCCCTTGCATTCAAGAACACTAACACAGCCATCAGCTCAGCACCCACGGGCTCTTCAGCCCCACTACACAGAGGGCTGCCTCCACACAGACACGTAGGTGCCAAATCTCTACCTGGATGTTTGAACCCCAGTACATTCACTGGAGAGAAGGGAACTGGAGCCTGGTTCTTTGAGAACAAGGCTGCACAACGCACCTTCTCCATGGGGCACCCCAGCTGCCAGCCTCGAGCCTGCTCTCTCCTACTTGGATCAGGACTCAGCTGAATCCTCCCTCTCAAATCATCACCAGCCACTTCCTTATCTGCATGTACATCACGCATAGTTAAGTGTCAACAGGGGACCAAGCTTACCTTTTAATTTACTTCTCACCCTGGGTCTTTTTCGGGTGTAGTCAAGAGATTTTGGCAATGACCGTTTCTGAGAGTTAAGGATCCAGCTTTTTTCACTCTGACTAGTGCTTGTATTTTCATTGTTGCTTTCAGAGAAAAGGTGTTTCCTGTAACTGGACTAAAGACACAATTAAGAGTGAGCCCTGCGCAGTCAGCTCCCTCTGTCCACCCAGAAGGCCCCCAGATATTCCTCCTTATTTACTACCAAATTATTCTGTTTCTTACTCCCCACAGACCAATACCTAAAGTACTTTAAGCTGTAAAATCTGCCAAAACAGCAACAGTAAACTGTCAAACCAGCACTATAAAAACACCACGAGGCACATGCCTGCCCTTTGCCAACACTGGATTTGCAGCATCCTCCATCCTCATACCCCACCTCCTTCTGCACCCAGATAAAAGAGCTCTTGCAAGGAGGAAAGCCTTGGCATGCACCAGCTGTAGCCAAGAGCACAGCAAGAAAAAATGAACACAGACATTCACTTGTGGGTCTGGCAGTTCTGATGCACCCTGAGCACCACTTTCAGGAGCAACAAGCAGGCCATTTTGAGGGTACCAGGCTCACAGTCCTCCACATCAGTGCTGGGTAAGCCTTAAACTTCAGCCAATTCATACAGGTAGATACACAGAGCAATCAAAGCGCACACAACGTACCGTCCTTCTCTCGAGCTTGTTTGATTCCTCATTCTTGCTCCTCGTTTCATAACTCCTGCCAAGTAACCCATAAAGACCCGAGTTAGACTAGCAGGCACTGCAACAGCACGTCGCAGCTGTGCAGAAGAGGCACAGTCAAATAGCAATGGCAAGGGGCTTCTTAGGAGATCAGCTGCACCAAACTGTTACTTTTAGAAACCAACCAAAGAAGAAAAACTTGGCTAAAGACTGCGCGTTAACAATCTGAGAATATCTGGAAATCAGAAACTTGCTAAAGAAAAAAAAGTAGGCTACATCCTTAAAGGTGGCAAGTCCCTGACATCTTGCTATAACTGGAGGTAGCCAAAGCAACATAGAGGGTTTAAGCATCTTTCCAAAATTTAATCAGTAATTTAGGCATATGATCAGGGAATTGAGATGTTTAAGAATTAAAGTACTATTACTGACAGAGTGGACAGGAGTCACTATTTTCTCTAGTAAGTTTTATATTTTCAGGTACCATTTAAATATTAGTACTGATAACATAGATAGTGTGGCAACTAAGCAAGGAACTATTTTATTAGAAACATCGCACAGCCTTTTTGATCCCAACTTAAACCAGCTTAACTAGGGCAATGAACTCTTCTTTCACAGAAAAAAAGGTTCATAAATGGTGCACATATAGTCCTGTACCTCTGATTTTGTGAAGCAACTTTCTGGCCAAGTATCCTTCCTTTGGCTTCAGCAACCTAAAAGAGAGCCAGGTGTTTCTCCAATTACCCCATGAAATAATCTACAAAATTAAAATATATCAGAACTTACAAGTACCAGAGGAGGAATGGATTACAAGTCCAGCATGGAAATTCAACTTTTTAATGGACTGAGATTTGTTGATTGAAAGCATCATAAATTACATCAAAAAGTTTTGTCTGAAACAGAATTACTTTATCTTTTCACTGTTTTATGAATAACGCTCATTTTAAGCAATAACATCATACGAAGCATCATTTTAAGCAATAACACCACTAGCAGCAGCACAGGCTACCTGGACAGCCTTTGGACAGGGCTGCTGGGACATGGTGCAGAGCAGCACGAAGCAGGGTTTCATGCTGACACCCAGTGGCAGTAGCGAGGATTAGTGGGTGTCCAGTTTTTAACAAATCTGGGGTGTCCCAAGGAGCACCCACCGCCTCTGAATTAACAGGCAGCAGTGACACCACCCGCTCTGGGCAAGAGGCTGAAAGCCAAAAGGTTTGTACGGTGGAGCCACCTTGATGGAAGCCATCAGGAGCAAGTTTTCAGCTTCCTGGGAAAACCCACACCGGTCAAAGTTTCAAAGCAGGCAGAGCCACTCATTTTTATTTGATTTTCCTAACAGTCTGCAAACATAAGTCAAGCAGAATTTCCAATATAAGCTTTATGATGACTGTCTTTAACCAGGGATTCCCAACATGCAAAGTGTGGCTCAAAAAATATTATTTCAGTCTCTTCTGGTTTAGCCTAAGAGCTCAAAACAACGGATGCCCAGCAATCTGTTTTTGTTATTCAGTAAAATGCAAACAGAAGTTGGCCTTCAATCACAAAGATATCCCACGGCTTCACTCAGGCAAGAGCTCAAGTTCCTGTTGCAGTTGGTTTTATCATACATTACTCGCCACAAAATTCAAGTAGTGATGAGCATTCTCCCCATCACAAAAAAAAAAAATATTCCATGTACAGCACCATGCAGAAAAAACAAGACCCTCAAATTCCCAGTTGCCTGGTTTGCTATAATAGCACGTCCATCCTTACTGCAGAGATATCCCCTGCTTCAAATTACTACTCTGTCAGCTGCTGAGCTGGGACTTTAGCGTATCCCCTAACAGCTTCTGCCACAAATTTACCTTTTCATGGCTTGCAGAGTCTGAGTTTTCAAAGTCATAGAAGTCCTTCCTGCAAGACAGTGTACACGTGGCAGTGACATACAAGCATGAACAGTCAACCTATATAACTTTTTTCCCACTCTCTTATGAACTGTTATACAGTACACATCCAAATACTTTATATGCTAAAAAATGCTGTTTCTTCAGCTTCTAAGAAATACTTGTTCCTTTCCTTCTTAGTCTCTATTATCGTCTTATTTAATTCTCACACTATATTTCTTCCAATTAGAAATTTTTAATTTTAAGAGAAATATTCAGAAGATACAAACAGGTTAGCCTAACCATTTTTATATAGTGGACGTTTTGTTTCCATATGTCACTTATAGTATGTAGTAGGAAGAGTCATATATGAATTTAAAGATAAAATTTCAGAAGAATTTAAAAATAAGAAAATCCATTTAATTCCCTTTTGAAAATTCTAGTACTTAATCTTTGTTCCCTAAGCACTTCTCTGTATGCATGTAGATGTTTTTCCATGCCTTTCAACAATTAAGATTAAGTGTACCTTTATTTCTTTCTCCAAATCGCAGCTATTTAAAAAAAAAAAAATCTTACAATTGGCTTTCAACATACACCTTTCCCTTCTTACTAGTGAAAGGATAGAAGACCAAAGAACTAAACTCTTTTCGCTAAAGCCTCCTGAAGGAAAAAAAACCCAAAACTTTAAAAATGGTCATTGTCACATTAAACACTAGAGGGAGCAGAATGACCGAACTAAGACCTTCTTCATCTCTAACTTCAGCACGGCTACTCCTGTTTTACAGCCAGCATTTGCTGCATCAAGCTATTTGGTCCTTAAAACACAGAACTTGTAGTAGTGATGAAGTCCTGCAGCACGTTTTCCCATTCTTATTTCCAAGCAATCAAAAAAAAAAATCTAAACACTTGTTTTTTTAACTAAGAGCCAAGAGACCAAAGCGGGACACTCAAAGAAGCCTTGGAACAGCCAGAAGGGCAGCAGGATCCTCACTTACGGTTCATTTACTCTCCTGCCCCGCACACAACACTTGGATGGCATAGAGCACAGCAGGAGTGTGCAATAAGACAGCTTCCAGTGCCACAGACAGTCCTCAAACTCTTGAGTGCTTCCACCCACCCGCCCGCTGGCTTTGAACGTGAGAAGACCGATATATGGGTGTGAGGAAAGGGGACAAACTGAGAAAGAGACAGTCCTGAAACTCTAGGACACACAATGCCAAAGAACTGGGCCAATATCTGAAAAGGATAAGGTATTTGTGAGAGAAATTACCACTCATTACCCAACTCACTGGAGGATGGGAGGATTACTGTTGGGTAAGGAAAAAATGGAAAAGCCAACCTGACATAGTATCACAGAAGTGAGGGCAATTTTTGGCAGCCTAGAGTTAGCTTCTAAAGTCTTTATTGTTTTGGGGACCCGAAGGTTCCCACTGAGACCTTATGACCCTTCATAACCTCCTGCTTGTTTTGCTCTGTTCTGTTCAGGCAGCCCAGCCCATGGGCACTCCATGTCCCCATTAGCACGAGAAATGGTCTAAAATCACCTGCTACGCCAGACCCTACATGGGCCCACGGCTCATACCTGCCTTCAGTCCTCTGCTTGGCCAAACGTGTTTTCCCCTTTCTCTTTACCCGGGTAACATTCTTCTGTAAAGAAAAGAGTTGCAGAATCTAAAACTACAATACGCAAAGTCATGTTCTTATCCTAGAGCCTGCTAAAAGCAGAGATAACGAGTGCCAGGAAACATTATTCACTTCTATTGCAACAGCCAGTTTCTTGCAGTTCTTTCCTGCCAGAAAGTATGGGAGTCCTGGAGCTAAAAATTGGGAGGCCAAGGGTGGGAGAATACAGAAAGAAGTAGTTAAAAAGCTCTGAATTCATTGTGCAGCAGGCAACTGTTACAAAAACCTTTGAACTGTCAGTTAAGAAATAATTTTAAAATAATCTAAACTTAGCTCATGGAAATGTAAACCCAAGAATGAGTCTAAAATATGATTCCTTACTCCAAACGAAAATTATTGCTTTGGGAATTTAATTTCTCTCAAGTACTGCATTGATTATTTTTTTATATCTAGACATATCAATAGGTATTTCCCAGTGCTCAAGTTGGCTGATGAAACAGAACTCTAGATGGCTCTCGGTTACTCATAGTTAATTTACCCAGGTTGCAAGCTCCTATCCCAGGAGTACAGAGATCTAGTGTGGGAAGATCACTAGAGCTCAGATACAAAACTGAATAAATATGCCTGTAGAATTCCAAGACTCGCTTCCTCTCAGGAAGCAAACCTTTGCTCTTGCAGGCCACGGGTAAGTCTGTGATACGTTTGGCCCACAGAGGGCCGGTCTGGTTGCCCACATGCCACATCTGAAAAGGATAAGGTATTTGTGAGAGAAATTACCACTCATTACCCAACTCACTGGAGGATGGGAGGATTACTGTTGGGTAAGGAAAAAATGGAAAAGCCAACCTGACATAGTATCACAGAAGTGAGGGCAATTTTTGGCAGCCTAGAGTTAGCTTCTAAAGTCTTTATTGTTTTGGGGACCCGAAGGTTCCCACTGAGACCTTATGACCCTTCATAACCTCCTGCTTGTTTTGCTCTGTTCTGTTCAGGCAGCCCAGCCCATGGGCACTCCATGTCCCCATTAGCACGAGAAATGGTCTAAAATCACCTGCTACGCCAGACCCTACATGGGCCCACGGCTCATACCTGCCTTCAGTCCTCTGCTTGGCCAAACGTGTTTTCCCCTTTCTCTTTACCCAGGTAACATTCTTCTGTAAAGAAAAGAGTTGCAGAATCTAAAACTACAATACGCAAAGTCATGTTCTTATCCTAGAGCCTGCTAAAAGCAGAGATAACGAGTGCCAGGAAACATTATTCACTTCTATTGCAACAGCCAGTTTCTTGCAGTTCTTTCCTGCCAGAAAGTATGGGAGTCCTGGAGCTAAAAATTGGGAGGCCAAGGGTGGGAGAATACAGAAAGAAGTAGTTAAAAAGCTCTGAATTCATTGTGCAGCAGGCAACTGTTACAAAAACCTTTGAACTGTCAGTTAAGAAATAATTTTAAAATAATCTAAACTTAGCTCATGGAAATGTAAACCCAAGAATGAGTCTAAAATATGATTCCTTACTCCAAACGAAAATTATTGCTTTGGGAATTTAATTTCTCTCAAGTACTGCATTGATTATTTTTTTATATCTAGACATATCAATAGGTATTTCCCAGTGCTCAAGTTGGCTGATGAAACAGAACTCTAGATGGCTCTCGGTTACTCATAGTTAATTTACCCAGGTTGCAAGCTCCTATCCCAGGAGTACAGAGATCTAGTGTGGGAAGATCACTAGAGCTCAGATACAAAACTGAATAAATATGCCTGTAGAATTCCAAGACTCGCTTCCTCTCAGGAAGCAAACCTTTGCTCTTGCAGGCCACGGGTAAGTCTGTGATACGTTTGTCCCACAGAGGGCTGGTCTGGTTGCCCACACACCATGCTCCTGGACACAAGCACAGCACACCACCACTGAGTGCTATACACTGAATGAACTCAGCTGAGCTTGAATCACTTGGTTGGGCCACACTAGGCTAAGGCCAGCAGCCATTGCCTCTGCAGCTCACTCTTGGAGCCAAATGGCACATTACATCAGGTACAAATGACACTATGTGGGCTTAGGACACCACTCAAGGGCAGGATTGAGTCAACCCATCCTAGCTTCCTTCTGCAGCTCCACCAGACCATCTCTTCCCTGCCCCATGTCTCTTCATTCAGGTGGGCCCCACAGTAAACATACCTTTGGTGTCAATTCCTCCATGGGGTCTTCTTCTAGGGCCTTCTCACTGGGGACAAGAGGACACGTGAGGGGAATGCAGTGCTGAGGGGCTGTTCATTTGAAGCCCAAAGAGTCAGTTTATGAAGTATGAAGTGGGGAAAAAACCTTACAGCAATTAGCACGAAAGCAGTGGTTTAAAAACGTATACAGGTAAAAAAGCTAATCAGTAGCTCTACAGAAGTCCAACTCATTACCTCTAAGAAATGCTGTCCTGCAAAGCCCTGAAAAAATGTATTACTAATGCCAAGGTGAACTCAAATGCACATGATCTTTCACACAAGTCATCATCCTCATTATGAAAAGCTACACATGTGGTGAGCTCCAGTTACACAGCTTAAGTTATACTCTGTAATAAAGCTTATGTTCATTTTGCATTCAGACTAAATCGATGAGAAAGAAAAGTAACACCAAAGTAGCAGCCAAGCCAGTAACCAAACATCACCATCTGCAACTCCAAAGGATTGTAACTCTTGGCAACCAGCCTTTTTAGGCAGAGTGGCAAAACAGAATATTTTTTTCCAGTTACTTGATGGAATAAACCTCAAAATCACATGCATTAAAACCCCAGATGAAGGTAAACAAAAGACAAAAGCAAAAAAAAAACCCAGCCACTTCACAACTTTTTGTCTCCGAGGCACTCACCTAGGCATAGCTTTTGTCCTTGGAGATGGAGTTTTGGACCTTTTTGCTGAAGGAGGCAAAGAAAGTACAGCTTCACCCTCAGGAGCTACTTACTAAACACTTCATCTGCTTTTGCTGTAAGGCCCTCAAAAGCAGAGCCTTCACCATGTCATCTGGGTGACACCACTGGGTCAGACTTAAGGAACTGAAGGGAGCCATGCCTGACCTGAGCCTTGGTTAGCATCTTCCACTTCAGTCTGTTGGCTCACTTTCATCATGGTGACATCAGAGTTACCCATTTTCTGCTCAGAGACATGAAACATGAACAGAGCATGCATATGGCCAATACGAAAGTGGGGGAGTTTTGAGGGGGAACAGAGACTTTCAGTGCTAGCCTGTTGCAACAGCTGGATGACAAGTTCATCATTAACCACACAAAAACATTTTAGGTTGCATGTAAGTGATACTATGAGCTTCTCACTAAGAGCATCACATCATTCCCTTGTATAAGAGGGAGTAAAACTTATTTTCTTTTTAAAGCAGTTTTGCCAAAATTGCAGCTCTGGAGGCAAGTGTTTGGGCTGATTTCTCACCAATATAAGATGGAGTTTAAAAGCATTGTCATATCTGGGTACAAACTAGTTTTTTTTGAAAGAAGGTTTTAATCACACCTAATAAAAAAGCAGACTGGAGGAGGGGGGAAAGTGGCACAAGGACTGTTTCACCATACACCAAACACTTACTGATACAGTGGCTGTTAAGTGTGGGCTGTGCTCAGAGGCTAAGCTCTCTGGTAGCGAGTCCATGTTTTCCGAGTTTGAAGGATCTTTTCTGCCCTCTGGATTAGTGGACTCGGGTGTCACTGCGGAACAGCAATGGGGTGAGAACTTTGTTACAGCAACTGAACACACACAGAGGCATTTCATTTCCATTCTTACACACATGCATAAAAGTAACAGCACAACTTACTAGGTGCAAACATCTCAAGATCTTGTTTAATAGAAAAAAACCCAAACATCTCCAAATTACCTAGTGTAGAATTGCAATACTAAACAAACATCATCTTGAGCCTGCCCCTTTTAAGCCCCTCATACTATATGAATACGTACAAGTTTATCATCTTATTGCTACCTTGACTCTTCGCTCTGGAAGACACAGAACAATTGTGCATGGCTAAAGCAACAGACCAGCAGGATCTTCCATCTCCTTTTCCCTCCATCAAATCTCCACCAGGCAACTGCAGAAGTTGATTTGCTACAGATGAACTACCTTCTGCCCTTTCTACTCCCCAGTAGCTTCAAGTAGCAGTGTCCACCTTGTGCCTCTGTGCATGCTTCATGGTGGACACTGATGAAGAAGCTTCTCCAGAATCTGGAAGAACTTCCATTCTAGCTCATTTTGTGTTGTAAATGGAAGAAAATGGGAAGGACTACTAAAGAAGTCATTATCTCAGACATCTAGAGCTGGAATTAGCTCTTTTAGCTATTCACCTGGAAGAATCTGAAATGCACAGTAACTAAGATGAAAGTAAAAATTTGCTTTTAACATAGGCACAGAAAGAACACTACCTAACCTAAGGGCTCTTCAAACTTACGATTCATTTACTGAGACAGAGATTGGTAGCAGTAGAAATAGAGCTGCAAGTTCCTTGTTTTAGAAGACCTGGAATGATCTGTTAAGCAAGTTACATCAAGGAATAATCCACACAAAAAAATAATCACTTATCACAAAAACTGAAGTACAGCCAATTTTGCAGCAAGGGTATAGCCCAGTCTTCAAAGAGAAAAGATCATGATACAGAAAAAAAGCCACCTCCCAAATTGCTACTGAAATTGATCTGAGGAAACATTTCCTGCATAAGGCCAGTTTTGATCACGTGTGCCTCGTGCTGAAAGCAGCTTTTCCTTAAACTACAGGTCACAGCCTTGATGGGGATTTACAGAAGAACTTCAGAGCAAGGTAGAGGGAAAGGAAGGAGTTACTTTCTCTTCCCCTTGGACAAGTGCTGGGCTTGGACCTTTCTTTGTTCAGGCACCCAAGCGTTATGTATGTACTTTGAGGCTCTGTGTTCCCTCAATATCTATCACATTTGGAACAAAATTAAACTCAGGCCTGGAAGGAAACATCCTGCAGATGTTCACTGGCAGCATGGGAAGTGACACCATTTACAGCAGAACTCACAATGCTCCTGCACATGGCAGCAGGTCACCTCCTGCAGAGAGGAGCTGAGCTACTGCTCACCTCTTTGTAGAGAGGGCTGCAGGTGAGCACTTCTGCTCCCCTGGCTGCACTTCCACAACAACCCCCAGCATCTCCAGTGCATTGTCCGCTCTGTGTGGTCTAAAAGGACCAGAGCGCACCCAGTCTCCACCGCATAAGGCCAGTTTTGATCACGTGTGCCTCCTGCTTTTGTGCTGAAAGCAGCTTTCCCTTAAACATCATGTTAAGAAGCAGAAGAGGCCTCCCTGCAGAAAGCCTTGGAAGAGGCTGTCCCACCACACACCCACTGCACAGAGGAGAGAGCACATGAAGTGCCAAGGTGCAAGCCCTGGTCCATCAGAGGACCTGTGCTTCCACGGGCACACAGATGCCACTGTCCCCTCCTGAGGGTCCGCTCTGTGTGGTCTAAAAGGACCAGAGCGCACCCAGTCTCCACCACATCATGTTAAGAAGCAGAAGAGGCCTCCCTGCAGAAAGCCTTGGAAGAGGCTGTCCCACCACATACACCCACTGCACAGAGGAGAGAGCACACGAAGTGCCAAGGTGCAAGCGCTGGTCCATCAGAGGACCTGTGCTTCCACAGGCACACAGATGCCACTGTCCCCTCCTCAAAGGAATCTCCCACAGGCACCCACACAGCACAGCCAAACCAGGAACCAAACATGGGGCAAGCAAGGGAGGGTAGATGTGTGCATCCTACTGCACTGCAACTGCTGGTGGAGAAACACTACTGCATGTTCTTTACGTGTCAAAGGCCTGCCATCAGCTGAGATGTGCCACGCCAGGCTGCCTGCCACTGCATGGATCCAGCCTCCACGAGCTGTTCCTCTGCCCGTGCAATCCCAGCAGCACTTGGCCATGGTGCCGAAGCTTCTCTGAGCTAGAGCAACTAGCATCTACCACAAGCACCAGTTACCAAGTTCACAAGATACAAACAGTAGAAGATTGAGCTTGGGGGTTGCTTTTTAACTTCAAGCTGGTGACTGCAACTGAAGATACTAATTTGAAAACTGAACAATTTCAATTTCATAAAATAATAATTTTTTAAAAATCACCTGCTTCATTCTGCCTGGCTTGCTTCTCAGCATGGGCAGACCCCTCTTCAGCCACATTTCTCTGTTGGTGTGAATTAATCTCATGTGAAAATGACCTTAAAATAAGTCGAATCTTTACCTGGTAAAGTCAGCTACATAATAACACAACTAACAGCTGTTAATTGCCAGAAACAATTCATTGAGAAATCATTGGATGCTATTTGAGTTGACTGTTTAGAAATGTCTCAGCTCCTGCAAGGATAAATGACAGCCTCTATACTATAGTTATTTACTGCACGCAAGATTTTCTGCAAACTCCATGGTCTGTGGATGAATCACAAGTATAAAACATTAACCATATTAATATTTACAAAAAACCCACACACAGCCATCCCCCTTGTTTTTATATTAGCTTATTAAAAACTTGAGGTTTTAAAAGGTCTTAAACATTTGCTTTTAATCTAGAAGTACCACATACAAAGTAAATGTAAGGTTTGTGTCTTGCAGCATCCCTCTTCTCCAGGTTCTAGTGTCACAATTTGCTCATCCTGTGCAATGTAACACTTTGAGCCAATGTAAGAGAATGTACATACTTCGAATTATGAAATGAAATGCCATAGGCATTCCTACTTCACAAACTCAGCAAAAATAATCACATCACACTGAATTGATTAACAAGACAGTTTAACCTTACATCTTCTAAACCCTAAATTTGATTCCCCTGAAACTTCTTTCCTAAAGTCTCTAATCTCTCATCCAGGCCAAAGCTAAGAACATTTTCATGGAGAGTCACAATTCCTCCATTTATGGAGATGACAGATATGTTGTAAAACAGACATAAAAAATAACCACCCAAAAAAACCATTGAATGTTTTTGCCCAATGTATATCAAGTAATATAGTTTAGAAAAGAAAAACTCATACTAAGAGCTTACCATCATTTTTTCATCTCCCAGAACTTTTCTAAGCACAATTAAGATTTCAAACTTAGCACTGAAAGATATTTTGATTTTGGTTGCTTCTGTTTTGTTAAGAATAGCAGGAATCTTCATGTAAATTTTAACAATATTTTCTCCACCCTCCTCTGTGTTAAAAAAAAAAAAGGCAGTTAAATCTGGTTTAGAGCAAGACATTCAGTGTATCACCCCAAAAGCATTTGAATAAGTGTTTGTGCATTTTATTTTTTTTTCAAAACAGTCTCTTTCACATCTTGCCCACACATTTCCAATTACTCTGTTCACTCATTTCTTTCTCTTTCTCTGGATCTAGATGATTATGCTATGCCCTACCACATCTATAAACTGACCTCTCAGCACATCCTGCTGAGGATGTGTTGAGTGAGTAGGTTATGGGCCCACAGACAGTCCAACAAGCAGAGCTGATGCAAGGTGACCAAAGTGCACAACAGGGGGAGAGGGAGACACAGGAACGCTCTTTGACAATGGTGAGATTTTGGGTTGGCTCCCTGTATCTTACAAACTCACAGCGAAACAGATGATAACGCTGGTTGGAAACCCTTACCCTTCAGGCTGTAACTGCTGACTGCTTCTTTCGACAGCCTCACTGAGTCCCAAAGAGCACCCTTTGAAAACCAAAAACCACCATATCAGGAGGGCTGAGCAAGCACCCACTGCATTAGACAGCTAGCCCAAGGCCACCTGGGCTTTGCTATTACCTCATTACTGTCCACATAGAAAGTCACACTCCGGCTGTCAGCATTGAAGTCAATCCAGAACTCCTCCAGCTTCTCATCCGATGGTTTCTTCACCTGGGGAAGCACAACAGCAATGCTGCCATTCCCAGAAAACCCCATAACTGCTGTCTTACTCAGTTTTCTTGAACAAGACAAAGCTGGAAAGTATTCCCCTACATATGTGTGTACACATACTCACACCTTACAGAAATAACAGTTAGGATCAACGTATAAGTTCCCAGCCTACTGCTCACCCAACCGTACCCACAGTGTCAGATGGTGCTCTACATCAGCCAAGGGAAAGGCAATACTTCACGCAAACGCTCACACATTTGTGGCAGGAAAGAGTCTGTGAAAGTTTTCTGTGTTTCTGAGTACTTGAAATAAGCATAAGCAGTGGAACCAACTTCCATCGACTTGGTTTTATTTTGATACAACTGTCAGGAACAGTGCCTGAATACATTAAAGAGCAGCAAAGCAATCTGCAGGATCTATAAGTATGACCTCTCCTACATGGCCATCAGGCTAATCTTGTTTTCTGGCAGCCTGGGAGCAGCTCTGCCGGAGGAATCAGAGTTGTCCTGTCCTCCTGTTTCCTTTTAGAGATCTCTCTTCTATCACCACCATGAAGAGAAGCACTGCCTCTATCATTTGGCTGATACAAAAGCAAAGTCAGCAGCAGTAAGTTGGGAGCTAAGTGACAAACAAGCAAGCTTTATAACTAGAATAGAACGTTACGCTCTACACTCCAGAAAATTGATTATTACCTCATTCATGTCAGCAAAAGCAGATATGCAAGGAAATGAATAGACTCTGGAAGAAAAGCAGACTTCACATGATACATTCAACTTCACAGTCTGACTTTATGAAAGATAAAACCATTAAGATTCGGTACTAATCTTATTGTCCAAAAAAAAAGAATTAATAAATTCCTGGAAGCAAAATAAGCTTGAGGAAGCTTAGAGAATATACTGTTTTAGTTGTGATGCTTTGTCTTCATTTATTTTACTTTCAAAAGAACCACCATTAAAATAAATAAAGTCCCATTCTTAAGAAGAACTAATTATTGGTATATGTGATGTGAATCCTTTTCTTTGGAATATAACCCAAGTCAGTTTACAATCCTAGCTTTTCTCCCCTGCAGTAATGACAGCAGCAGTTTAGTCTGTTTGTTCACAGCTTACCTTCTTTCATCCCCAAGTCTTTCATTTAGCTGGTTAAGAAATTTTCTGCAGTCCTTCAAGACAAATGACATCTTATTAAAGAAAAAAAAATCTGGCTACATTTCCTTTGCAAAGAGTTATTCTACTGGGCTGAGTTACCTCTATTCCAGTTATAAGCTCTTAACTAGTCAGTGTCATGCCAAAGGCCGCTGAGAAGAAACACTGAAATTGCTACAAATAGTTGGACCCAACTTATGACCAGCAAGCCTCCAAACATACGCCACAGAAATTAACTTATTTATGCTTTAGAAGTAAAATAACTTAGAAATAAGAGCTATTTTAACAATATGCCATTTTATATTTGCCAGATTACAACCAAAACAAAATCCTCCATCCACAAATAACTAAATAACTGTGTATTTATAAAATCAATTTTGTAGGAACTTCTTACAAGGACATCCTGACTGAAGTCAGCCAGAACTAGCCCCTATACAGACTTGTCAAGTATGTTGTTTTCAAAATAAGGACCCTCACCGTCTCAAATTCTCTATCCTTGATCTCTTTGAAAGCTTCAGCAAGATAGTTATCTTCAAACCAGTGGTGAACAAGGTCATCCCTCCATTTTTTTGTTGTTAACCTACAAAGTGCTTCTGAAAGGGCAACCTGAAGGTCATAATCTACGTGGTAAACATAAGCACAGGATAAATATCACCCTCCAAGCATCACAGTGGGTTTTAGCATCTCTACTCTTGTACTTATATACTACACAGTCACATTCATCAGCTAGCTTCAGTTTCATCAAGGAAGGCAGTGGAGGGTAAGAGCCAGACGTTAGCTCCAGGCACCCTCAGCTCCCCCTGGCCCAGCAAGGTCAAGGTGTGGAGCACTGACCACGATACACACACATGCATGATGCTCTTGGGGATCAGGGAGGGGATGAAAGCAAAGCCTCGTCACTAACTCACTACCATTAAGTCACATTTGACACACGACAGTAATGCCCTACAGAGTGTAACTGCTAGGTGAAAACAAAAAAGATTTCACTTAAGAGGCTATAAACATTATTAACTGAGATCTGTCCACATCGTGGTGAAGTAGTTAAAATTTATTTTTGAAAGATTAAGCAGAAGCATACTTTGTAAGCATGTACATAAAGCTGGCCTAATTACCTTTCTACATACATCAGTTTAGCTTTTCTTATTAGTTAATACAAATTACTAATATTATCCAGAAAGAACTAATGCATCGTTGCATCTAACAATTTTTGATTAATATTTTCTTGAAGTATCTGATTTTCCTCCCCAAAAGTCTTGACAAGCAAATAATTTAATTTATAATTTTATCTACAATAAATTAGCAGATGAAGTAAAGCCAGAGAAGCCCAGCTTTATAAGAACAACCACTAAATACTTCTTACCACCAGCCTCCAGTATAGTTTTTGCAAGGTCTTTCCTGAAACAACACAATGCAACCAGTTAAAGTGGAAATAACTTTAACTGCTGCTGCTGGGAAGACAGCATTTACCTACAGCATCTGGAAGGAAAGCCACTTACGTGAGTGCGCACATCTCCTCAGAGAGAGGGAACTTCTTTCTCTCCTCTCTTGGGACACTGTCAAGTATAGAGTTGAGGGTCCTCAAAGCCTTTCCCCCCACAGAAGAGGAGGCAGAAAAGTAAGGTAAATAATTCAGTAACATATTTTTCACACTTTATAACTAATTACACACACTTGTGTGCATACGCATCTGTAGTTTTCTTCTCCTAGTAGGAGTCTTACCTCCTGCCGCAGAGCACAGCAAATATTTGCTTCTGTCACTAGATGCCCTAGTTCTGGTAAAAATAAATTCACCAGCTCTTTCTTCCCTAGAAAAGTAATTTGAAAGGTTACAGCTGGCAATGAGGTGGTCTCCATATAAAATTTGAAGCAACTACAGTTTCTTGTGTTGAAGGAGTTAAAATATCCCAGCTGGGAATTAATTTTAAAACAAAGCTTCCAACCATCTAATCCTAGACAGAAAAGGGAACTCTTAACTTCTCTGTAACAAAAGCTCCAGATACTTTAACTGCTGACCTGGGTAACTATTTAAATAGGTACAGAAAGGAGAAGCTACTTACTAACCATGAGAGATAAAACCATAATACACAGCTTTTGTCAAAGTCAACGGAACTAACCACTAGAATATTAACCCAAGGACGCTCATGCCTGCTTTGCTCCCACTAGACTATGCTACAAGGATAAACAAACTCAAGTTACCAAGCACACAATGTAATGTTTCATTTTCACATGACTTGTAAGCCTGGAAGTCCAGGCATACAGATACTTGCTCTTTCTGAAAGCACCTGCTCCCCTGCCCTAATGGAAAGCCAGCTGCAGCCACAGACAAAATCTTGCCACTGAAACGAATGACAGACACATATCCTTCTGCCTAATTAGGATGGCTGAAGGAGCTACCACGTTGTTCTGCAGAGGTGGTTGCCTTCAGCAAGGGAATAACACCTGAAGCCACTATGAACAGATGCACAAGAGCAGACTGTCTAGCCCCAACTCCTTTCAGAAGCATCCCTTACTCTATTTCACCAAGTGAAATAACAAGATACCACAGATAGATTATTATATTTTTTTCAGCATATTTAAAACAAGCAAACAAAAAGAAACAGTAGGCTTTGTGATTTAAGTGTTAATGAAAATTAACTGGAGATAAATCAGTAGGAGGATTTAAAGAAAACATCGCAGAGCTGAGGAAGGAGTGGAGGGGAGAAGAGAAAGGGGATAGAGTTCAAGCAGAAAAAAGAAATGTGTTCATGAAACAGAGATTCAGGATATCAAGGAATGGAAGGGAAAAAAAAAATACTGACCTTCATTACTGCACTTGCAAATCACCTGATGGAAAAAGTAAAGGAAGCCTTCGTTAACACACCACTACCCAAGAAAAGCAATACTCAAAGCGCTGAGGTGTTTATGCCTTCACTGTCACACCTTTCAGGGGCTAAATAACTTAAAACATTAGTTTACCCACATCAGGAAAAGTAGTGCCACCTGATACAGGTATTTCACATATGCTCACCCTGATCATACAGGATGGCACCCACTTCCCCCCGGGATTTCAGCAGCACTCGAGAGTGCGGTGCCCTCAGCTTCCCTGGAAAACCCATATCGTGGCACCTCTTTGTTACTTTTATCGAACACATGGGCTTATGTAGAAACACATTTGATGTTTACACATGCCAGTACTAGATATCATCTTTTATCGAACACATGGGCTTATGTAGAAACACATTTTATGTTTACACACGCCAGTACTAGATATCGTAACAACATATGAGGTCTGAAGAGTGCTAAAGTCCATTGAGGAAAATTAAAAATAATAATAAGCAAAAACCCCACAACCAATAAAAAAAACCCACTTCATCCTCCACAGAGAAAACATATGGAAAAAGTGGACTTGGAAGACAAAGAAATCAAATTTTAACAAATAAATAATTTATAGAGTATTTCATATAATTTCAATGTGGTTAGTAGAGAAAGAAGAAAATATTATTTTGCTCAAATATCTTTTATCAAGCCTCCAAAAAAGGCTCATAAATATTCAAATAAGTTCTGATGCACAAAGCTACACAGTTCAAGTAAGCTACAGACAAGACTAGGGGAACAGCTTGGGGAAAGAAGCTAGAAGCATTCTTCCTTTGGAAAATTTACATCACTAGGCCCCCAATACCTTTGAAGTTATGACTACATAAAATAGAAACCTAAATGAGAATTGGGAGCAGCTCTGATTATTCTTTAAAAGTCAGCTGTTTCAAACACCCCAGGAACAAATCACTAGGACCACCTTGGCAAACACAGTTGCACATAAAGTGCAGCTCAGTGTCAGTAATTTGTGTTTTTAAAAAAGAGCTTCAGCGCAAAAGCTTTTATTTACAAAATTCATCAGAACTTCTTGCACATTTTCCTGCAAAGCAAACACTTGGCTTCATGTTAGAAAAACAACAAAAATGCTGCAGTTCTGTGCAGCCCCCCCCGCAGCAGCTTCTCCCAGGTGTGTCAAACCTCAGCCTGACACCAGCCCAGAGCACACACCTGGGCACTGCCCGTCCCCACCACCTGAGCTGCATCCCAGGCTCAGTCCTAGGGCACAAAGTCTGCACAACTGTTTGTTTTTTGAACAGAAAACCATCTGTCAACAATGGCTTTTTATCCAATAAAGTAAAGGCAACCCGTCTATTCCCTTAGTGCATGTACATACCAATGCAGAGTCAAAGAAGTCTTCAAGTAGTAACATCAAAAATTTATTCTCACTTGGGTCGATGAGGTTCACAAACGCTCTTGCTCTTTCAAACCAAGATACCAGGTAAAAGTTAAAAGAATCAGTTAAAACCTGGGAAGGAGACTTAATAATCCTTAAACTAGCTACCAACATAGCATTAAGGAACTTGAGTTTTTCTAGAGGGCTATGAAAAGTGCCATCCTCACTCCCACTCAGCAGGACTTATCCCCCTCTTCCCTCCTTTTGCCCTCCTTTCTCAGTTCAAGGCACACACTCTTGGTGCTCAGGACTTCCTTGACACAATGCACAGGGCTAGTGGCATCGTAACTCCTACGGAAATTTCTAGAGGACATCATTTCACAGTGAAATAATGTTTTAAAAATTCATGAAGCTTTTCCAGAGTCATTATTTTAATACTTTATGTTATTAAATATATTGCATTGCATCACACATCTATGGCTAACTAGAAATCTATGCTTCACTGGAGATACAGAGCTCACATCGGCAAAACTTCATTAATAAGCTCTCCATACATGAATTTTGAGCAACTATATCCCTGAGAAGCATAATTAGAAAGCAGGATTACAGCATTTTGGACTGAGGACTCCTTGGTACAACTCTGCTAACAGAGCAAGTGTTAACTGTTCCCTCCTAGACCCCTATGCTAGATGCAGCACAAGTGCATTTCTGCTACAACAAGTGTTACCAGCTGAAATCAGTATCCTGCTATTGTGCCAGAAGATAAAATTCAATTGCAGGTTAAATGCATCTGATCTACTATGTATCTAAAAAGGGAACTTCATGAAGGGTATGTCAGTTTTTAAAATTACAAAAGCACAAACTGCTCATCAATTCTATTACTAAAATTGTATTTTGCTGGAGCACTTAAAATGCTTTTAAAAATTCTATATCATTTCACAATGGGACTCATCAAAACTCATTCTCTCCTTCTATTGTGAGCTTTTAAAAAAAAAAAAAGCCATAAACCCATTAAGTCAGGTAAAGCCATGGACGCTAGTTGCTGTACTGAAAGTAATGCAATGAACATAAGCATTTTTTCCCCACTCAGCTCATAGAATATATTAAAAAAAAATTCCTTTCTGCATGGCCAACAAGTCATCCTCTAGTTCTCACTTCCTTGGAGTTCTTTTCCTGATGCAAGCAACCTTAAGTCACATTAGTAACTTTTATACAGTATTATACTCATCTTTTCTACCAGTCCTTGCTGAATAAACAAACTCGTCCCTTCTTGGAGATCACTTTTAAAGTAGAGTTGAATACATTTCAGGAGGAGCGAAACGTTCTGGAATTCATTCTTGTCCAGCTCCTACAGAAACACAGAGTGCTGTTCTTCATTAACCTGATGCCCATAGAGCTGGGTGTTAAGGTGGTTAAGATTATTTATGGTACTCGCCTTTCTCAGGGCTTTGTCTAGCTGAGCGAAGAGAGATTCACTGTATTTCTGGGGAGGCTCTATTTCTCTCTCCTGAAGCAGTTCTCTTATTTTCTGAAATCCCTTCCCCTTAAAAGCATCAGCAAGAAGCGACTCAAGCTGCAGAGCAAGGGAAAGCAAACAACTAGCGAGGGCATTTGAGCTGTTGCAGCACTAATTATGAGAAAACACTTGTAATGCTATTTTTAAAGTTGCAGGTTTTTTGTTTATTTGTTTGCATTTTGTTTCTCTAATTTCATTTTACAATTACATCTGAAGGTGAAACATCAGTCTTAATCTCCAAAAAAGATAGGACCTTTGAACCTCAGTAATTTAAAGGGTACTGAATAAGGATACAAGCAATTCCTTTAGTATACTCAGTTGGTAATTCCTGTAACTATTACAAGAATTTCTTCCTCCTTACTAAAGACCAAATTAAGGGTTCTGCTGCACTTGCCACATTACATTGAATTACTAAAAACTCTAGCTCATCCCATATCCGTTTAAAAACGCATCTTTAAATATGCATATAACTGTCTGTGAGATAAAAACTAAAGATGCATTTAAAAGATATTTACATAGTCTTCTGCTATGGCTGCCACATTGCCGTTCATCTCTTTATTACGGTCCTCACTTTTTTCTTCCTTTAAGAAGAAAAGGGAGAGAAAAACCACAGCAAAAAAAAAAAATAAAAAAAAAAATAAAGCCCAAAAGCTGAAGATTAACCCCACTTTTTTTCCCCAAAGGGCCGTTTTTCCTTCCTTATTTCAAAACCCTCACACACCTCCAAACTCAACGTTTACCAAAGCTGTAGGGGGGGAAGGAGGGGAACAGAAATCACGCCGTTTGTCCCCATTCCCCCTCAAACTCCATCCCTCGGCCCGGCTGCCGGTTCCCCGCCGCAGGGAGCGATGCTTACCTGGGCCATAGCCGGGGGGGGGGGGCCGGGCTGCAGCTCCGGGGGGAAGATACCGGGGCTGCTTCTCCTCGCTCCCCCACGACTCTCCACACGACCACAGCCGGTTACCAGATACACTGGAGCGGAGAGGAGACCCCCACCAGCATTTCCCACAGCTCCCAACACTCTTCTTCCCTCAGCAAACCTAATCCTACCCCCCAACTCTGTGATGGGGGCCGGGGAGGAGGGGAAAGGGGGTGTTCGCACCCGCACTAATAAGCCGGAGTGGCAGGGGGGGGGGGGGGGGGGGGCCGGGCTGCAGCTCCGGGGGGAAGATACCGGGGCTGCTTCTCCTCGCTCCCCCACGACTCTCCACACGACCACAGCCGGTTACCAGATACACTGGAGCGGAGAGGAGACCCCCACCAGCATTTCCCACAGCTCCCAACACTCTTCTTCCCTCAGCAAACCTAATCCTACCCCCCAACTCTGTGATGGGGGCCGGGGAGGAGGGGAAAGGGGGTGTTCGCACCCGCACTAATAAGCCGCAGCTGTGCGGGGGGGAAGGGATGCCGCCCCCCCCGCTCCCCGCACACCGGTGGCGGCGTTTGGCACCGCCGTCCGAGCGGAGGGTACAAAAGAGGACCCCGGGGAAGGGGAGACTCTTTTTCGAGGGGGTCACAACCAACGTTTTCTGCAAGAGGCTGGGGTGTGTTTTCACACAACTAAAGGTAAAGTTCAGTGAATTTTTAGAGGGGGGGAACAAATGAGAACATCCTTCCGAACAGATGGGATGGTTTAAAGGGCTATAGCGTTATCAGTGTTTCAACGATTCCATCTCTATAACATTATGTACGCTGTATTTCTTTTTCTTTCTATTTCTGAGAGCTAAGAGGAAACGTTTTCCATCCAAAAGCCCTATCGGCTATTTTTTTTTTTTCCTAAAAGAAAACAGTAACAAAAACCCCCTACCTCTAACTTTATAATAAATTAAAACACGCTTATCAGTGAGATGCACTGACCCTAGGTTTGCGTTTTAAACTTCTGTCGTAGAGCACAGCGTGAAGGGAGAACATGCTTAAAAGCACTTAATTCGTTTACGTTTAAATCCGAAGAGCAGGTTATTTCTTACGCTCCCTTTGACTCCCTCCGGGGGCTTTTTAAGCTGCCGGCAGTTCCGAGACGCCCTCGAAATCAAACATCAGAGGCACCTCCGACTTCCAGACCCTGCCCAAATTTGGAAAGGTCGGGGGCGGGGGGGTTGGATTCGAGCAAGACTTCCCCCACGCTACCCGCCCCCGCCAATCTTCAGGTAACCGCGTGTGGAGCCTATTTGCGGGGCGGAGTGGGGAGCAGGCTCTGACTCATGCCAGGGTGGGGGGCGGCACCCCCCGCACACACACACATTCCGGGGACGCCCCGATCGCATAAAAAAGCGGGAGTCGCCGCCGTCGCCACCCCCCGGCATGAAGCTCACCTGGGACATCAACGACCCCAAACTGCCGCAGGTACCGGGCGGGGAAGGGACGCGGTAGGAAAATTCCCGGCCGGTTATAACGCGGGGCCAGGCGGTTGGGGTGCTGGGGAGGGAAAGCCTTCCTTCTGAGCAAAGCTTCATTTTATGGCTGGCTAAATTCTTCCACACCTTTTCACGTATAGTTACACGGGTCTTGGTGGGCTGCAGTGGTCCATACAAAATGACCTGTAATTTAAAAAATATGGATTTAATAGGCAGCTTTGGCCAGCTGTGTGTGAACTCCTAAAACGATCTTCAGCTCTGCTCTTTGGTCAGTTTCCTTCTCTTTCATTCCTTATTTAAAGAAATGTTCAAAAAGAATCGTGGAATGACTATTTTCTGCTCTTATAATTCAACCTATCTAGAGATTTCATGGATTTGTTGATGTAACATTTTATTGTTAATGTGCACTCTGCTTTTTTCTAGTTGTGAGCTCCAAATTGTTAATTCACAACTTTTTTCAGCTTAGAATTTATTTAATTTTACAGACCCTATGCAAATACAGAATGACTTAATGCTGTAAATACTGGTAGTTTACCTGCATTCATGGGGATTGCTCACATGTGGTACAGATGTATGTTAAATCAGTATTGCAGGAACTCTTATTTATACTGTAAATACTTGGAGTTTAGCATCTTGGTCGTTCTTTCATTGCTCCTGGTAATTACACGTTGGTAAGGATCTCCAGAAAGCCAGTGACATCCCAAATTGAGACTTTCTTTCTCCAAACCATACATATATTGGAAGCATATTAACAGTTACCATTTTTTTAATTTTTCTTTTTTTAAGGGAGAAGACTTATTCAACTTACATTAGATGCCCTTTAAAAAAACATTCCTTAGCTAAAATTTCTAGTTTCCAGTCTGCCAGTGCACAAACCCACAATGAGGAGAACTTAATAGCAAGTATGAGCAGGGTTGCTTCTGTCCCATCTGGGCACGTTGGTGGTACACCAGTCAGTAAGTCCCAGTAACAAGGCTGATCTCTTACAGCTGGGTAATCTCACTGCAAAGAGGCACCTGTGATGACAGTGTTATTATGGATCATAATGCAAAAGAAGAAAGGCTCCTGATTTTTGAGACATGGAAGCTCAGACTGCTTCTCCCCTTTTATAGAGCATTTCAGAATAAACTATTCTTTTTTTTTCTAGTGCTTGGGTGGTCATAGAAAAAGCCCTTTTTCCCCGTTATGTATTTTGTAACAGGGCAAAAACACCAGGTTGCAATATTCTGCTGAAAGTTTCTTGCCCTCCCCCAGGAGCCCAAGCACTTCGACGTCTTCCAGGAATGGCCCGATGGCTACGTGCGGTTCATCTACTCCAGCGAAGAGAAGAACGCCCAGAGGCACCTCAGCGGCTGGGCCATGCGCAACACCAACAACCACAACTGCCAGATCCTCAAGAAGTCCTGCCTGGGGGTGGTGGTGTGTGCCAGGAGCTGCGCTCTGCCCGGCGGAGCCCGGCTGCAGCTTCGCCCTGCCATCTGCGACAAGGCCCGGCAGAAGCAGCAAAGTGAGGGGTTGCCCCAGGAGGGTTGGGATGCCCAAGGGACCCCATTCCTTTCAGCTGGGATTGGATTTCTAAACTGGGATCGTCCTCGCTTGCATGCAGGCTAAGGCATAATTGCAAAGACTCTGACAAACACACTTATTTCCCCATTTCATCAATGTCTGTAAATACTGAAGGGGAAATGGATCTAAAATCCTTTAACCCATTAGTGTTTATATCAAGTATGCAGCTCTAGTCCGTACCATTCCGTTATGCTTGATAGTCTATGTTGCTTTTCCTCCAGCATCACATTTTATCTGAATTTCAGTGAAGGCTGATCATATTGCTCATATTTGAGCTCTGTTTACTCTCTCTTGTCTTTAACCAGTGTCTTCAGTAGTTTCTTTATCTCTGTCCACAGAGAAATCCTGCCCGAACTGTAACTCTGCCTTGGAGCTGATTCCTTGCCGCGGACACAGTGGCTACCCAGTCACTAACTTCTGGAGGCTTGATGGCAAAGCAATATTTTTCCAGGTAAAAAGCATGCATATGTATGTGCACACACATATAGATTATATCCAGAAAAAGATATTTCTCACTCCCTTTTTTCTTTTTTTTTTTGTTTTGTTTAACACCGAGCATGGTGAGCACAGTGGGCTCCTGGTACATGACTGAATTCCTCTGTAGTACACACATGGCAAGAACAAATAAAACACTAACACTTGGCTGTCTTTTTAAAAGCAGCATTTGAGGGTTAACTACATTCAATTTTAACTATAACATCATTATACGTGTCTAAAATTCTCCTCTTTACATAAATATGTGCAAAGAGGTTGTCCTGCACCCTGGCATCTCACCAAGGACGTAATATTTATTTCCTATTAAAATAAATGGGGAAGGAAAAGCCTCACTTAAATTGCAAAATTTGAAGTGGGAAAATTAATTTCATTAATTTCATGTGAAAATAACCTTCGAATTTTAAGAAGACTTAAAAATTTGCCAGAAAAAATAATTTAGAAAGCTGAAATTTGAAATTTCAGTTTGATTTGTTCATTTTTTATCAACATTAGGACAAAAAATTCACAAAAAAGCTTCTGTTCTGTAAGACAACATTCTTTGCTGGATGATATTTTTTTTCCCCCTGACCCATGCTGCAGTGAATTCTGTTCTCCAATTAGTTATTGAAAGCAAACTGACCACATACCCAAGTTCTTACATGTATTATTATTACTATTCAGATACTCTGTTACAGACATGTGAAAACTGATGCTTTTCACCATCAAAGCAGTTGATAAATACTCCCTCAGAAGTTAATTTCTATTTGAGAAAGGACAGCATTTTAAAAGCAATTTTTAGTTTCCTACTTTGTATTGAGGACCATATGCAGTCTGTTTAGGGGAATGTAATGGGTAAGGACATGTAAAATACATTGTTTCATCATATAGTAATATAACTTTGGATACATAGATCTGCTTATCCACAGATGTTTCAATAGCAGAGCATCTTTGGATGGCCTTCTAGGGTACACTTTTGAGTCCTTTTCAAGAAGATGCTTACTGTAGAGTACAGAATACTTGTCATCTGGTGGTGTGAAACCTCTCTTTAAAGCCTATTTATACTGTTTTAGTGGTGGCTATTATAAAGCAGAACTGAGATCCTGAACTGCAGCTACACTTATAATCTTTTTTCCCCTTGGTTCTAGTCTGCTACTCCTGAATGTCACAAACATAGGTAACACCTTTGCTCCTTCATCAGCTCTGCAGTCCTCACTGACTTCTCCCTCACTTTCTCCTTCTATCTACCTGCAAATCATGCTGTATTTTATTTTTACATTTAATTTACATTGGTTAGTTCCTCCTCCCCGTTCTCTTGTGCCAAACCACAGACCGTGCTGTGGCTGCCTGTCCTTCCACTTACTGCATTTTCTCTTACCTTACCCGCTTCCCATTCACATCTATTTCTTTGCTAATCCTAATTTAGGCTAAAGGAGTCCATGACCACCCCAGGCCAGAGAGTAAATTGGAGGCA